TCTGTGGTGCTGATCTGTCTCTGTTTAGGAGTACACAGAAGAATAGAAAATTAATTCATCAGCTTCACAGAGTGAGCTGGAAATGCAGCAAAAGCAATGTGTAGTGCCTGCCAGTGCTTCACTTAAAAGAAATTACAGAGTTTGACAAGGCATAATTATTTCTGCATCTGTGCAGATGTCTCCCATGCCAAAGGGAGGACATGTATTTATGTGTATTTGCACATGCATCTGTCACAGAGCTGGGCTTATACAGTAATTTGTCTTTGAGCATAGTAAAAATACTGAAGTATTATGGATAGCTCTTTTAACAGCAGGTATTCCGGCCTCTGATAGTGAATGACACTCCAGCCTTGCATTTTTTTAGCTTAAAAAGCCTGCTACAGCTTGCCTGCAATATTGAGTAGCATGCTGTGTGTCATGTTGGCTGTCAAGTGGAGAATGACTGTTTCATGCAAGCTGGAACTGTTCAGTTGGAAGGATTTCAGGCTTCCATAAGACACGCCACTAAATTCACATTTTTCCTTTGATGTAGCCAGCTCAGTCTATTTAGTATCACCCCCAATTTTAAAGAAAAAATTAGGAGTAGCGGTTCTGCCAAAAACAGTTATAAATGACAGCAGAGCTCCTAGATATAACTCGGGAGTCAAATAAGATCCTTAGATAATGAAGCTTGTTCTTAGGTAAGCCAAAAGTTCATGAACTTTATAAATCATATGATGTGTCTTAGGTAATCCACAAATGGCTGAACCCTGATTTTACTTGGACATTGGCTGTTCTCTCAGAAGGGACACAGCTGCAGACAAAACAGAAATCCTGAAGGAGTGAACTAGTTCAAAGAATACAGTGAGAGGCGAATACAAGGACCAGAGCAAGCTGCACGGGAGGGAGGCTTTCGGGGTACTATATTTAGTCCTGTCAGATAAGGATTCGCCCTCAGTTTTTGCACCCTTGCGATATTAGTGGGATGAGACTGCAAATATTACTCAAAGCTTGAGAGCCAGATTGAGCACTGTCTCCAAAATGTACTAAAACATTGCTAAAACCCACAGATACCTAAACGAGGCAACAGGAAAATGAGAAGATAACTGCACAAAGTGACAGAGTGAAAGAGGATTAAGCTGTTGGTTGTCTTAGAATAAGAGAAATGATTGGACAATATCTGGCTCTTTGAGTATTATCCACAGTGCAGAAAAGCCAAGGTTCCTAAGACAGAGGGAAAGGAGATTCTCAAAGTGCATTAAACCTTGTCTCCAGGTTAAATGGGCTGAAATGCAAATGAGGATGCACTCATGCAGGGTTGTGTCATTTTTTTATCATGTCCTTCGAGAGATATACCCATAAAATTACTGTTTCTGAGCCCTGTTGGGTTGTTGTAGTTGGTTCTGTTCTCAAGGTACACAGCCAGAAATTGTTGTCCTTAATCTTGGTATTATTTAATTTTAGCACTAACCTTGTTTTGCTTCACAGGATACAAAGTTTGGCCAGTGGAGTACAGCTGCTTTTCAAAGTTCTGAGCAACAAATGAAGTTTCTTAGACTGATGGGTGGCTTTAAAAAGGGCTCTGGTCCTATTCAAAATCTCTCAGCAACTACAAACAAACCAAACATGGCTCTGAACAGGGAAGCGGAGGAGAAGTTACAGCAGGCTCTGAAGATGGAATTTGATAAAGCGATGGACTTGAGGCAACATAGAGGAATTGGTCTTGGATTTCAACCTGCTGCCAACAAAAAAGTATACATAGACAAATATACATCCAGATCTAAAAAATTTGAAGATTAAAACTCTGAAGTAATAAAAGGAATAGAAATTCAACTGGCAAATTTCTTTTCACTTTCCACATAATTTTAACTTGAAATCAGATATATTTAAGAAATTTGATTTATGAGGCACTTGTACTACAAGTTGTCAACTGCATGAACTAGAGCTGAGTCCTCACTTCAGCTAAGCAGTAAGTTTTTGATACCTTTACAATGTTTTCTACAAGGCAAGAGACAGTCTGTTTTGAAGACTGCAGCTACATGGGCAATGCCTGTAACTAGTTGAAACTTAGTCAATTTTTTTTAAATGCTGATTTTATAACCTTATTTTCAGCTACATCTGTGTGGTTTAAACTCAGCCACGCAGCCTCTCTCACTACCCCACTTCCTCTCCCCCACCCCCCACGCCTGGAGGGATGGGGAGGAGAATCAAAAGAATGTAACTCCCACAGGTTGAGATAAGAACAATCCAGTAACTAAGGTATAACACAAATCACTGCTGCTACCACCAATAATAATAATGATAAGGGAAATAACAAGGGAAGAGAATACAATCGCTCACCACCCGCCAACCAATACCCAGCCCAACCCCGGCAGTGATCTTCCCTTCCAGGTAACTGCCCCCCAGTTTATACAGTGGGCATGACATGCTGTGGTAGGGAATACCTCTTTGGTTATTTGGGTCAGGTGTCCTGTCTCTGCTTCCTCCTGGCTTCCCCTCCTCCCTGGCAGAGCATGAGGCTCAGAAGGTCCCTGGTCAGAGTAAACATTGCTAAGCAGCAACTAAAAACATCGGTGTTATCAGTGCTGTTCCCAGGCTGAAAGTCAAAGACACAGCACTGCACCAGCTACTAAGAAGGAGAAAAATGACTGCTACTGCTGAACCCAGGACACCACTTCAGTGATTCAAAAGGATTTTGGTGTTCTGTAAAATCTTGATATTTTTACGCTTAGTGAGTGGTACAAAGTGATGGTGTTTTACTTTGAAGAAACACTACTGACATGCCTACAAATCTGATGATACATTTTGGGCAACTCCCGAGAAGAAAATTATGGAGAGGCTCCAGCTTAAAGGGCTGCTATGAATCGATTCCTATACCTGGGATGAAGAAGATGCTGAACCACTTCCTGCAGGGTCTTTGAGGAAACATCTCCTTTATAGTGTCATTTAAAACCAGCACTACCTCAGGGCAAGTCTGTTTTTCACCAGTGATCTCAAAGTTCAGTGACTGGCTTCAGCCAGCACTTCCATGCTTCAGCTTTTGCTTTACTTAAACCCAGGCAGTGGAGGTCATTTTCTGTTCCAAGACAAATGCTGAATTGAGGCCCTCAGCTACTTGCCTAGCAAAAAACTTGACGTAAAATAAAGGAACAGGTAAGAAAACGTCAACTAGTGACTTCATTTAGGAAGAAAGTGACAGCACATACAGCTTTCTGCTGCAGAGCCAGTCCTGGATGGGTAATGACTGGTTTTGCACTACCACAGACAAGATGCTGAAGGTGATATTAGTCCTAGCCTTGCCTTTAGATAAGAACTCTTTTTCCCTATCTAGAATTGCATAACATATACCAGTATGTTGTTCAACTGCAGCTTTGTGGCCTGGCACCTTTCTCTTGATAATAATGTACACATGGAAATGTAGTTTCAAAATCAAGACTCATACCGGGGGAAAAAACTGTCAGCTTTTTTCAAGCAGATAAACTTGTTCTGGCCTGTGTATGTGCTGCATATAGAAGAAAGAGGAGGTCTGTAATACTGTACAGTACTGTAGGTACTGTAGTGATAGGACAAGGGGTAACGGGTTAAAACTTAAACAGGGGAAGTGTAGATTGGATATAAGGAAGAAGTTCTCTACTGTTAGGGTGGTGAGGCACTGGAATGGGTTGCCCAGGGAAGCTGTGAATGCTCCATCCCTGGCGGTGTTCCAGGCCAGGCTGGACAGAGCCTTGGGTGGCATGGTTTAGTGTGAGGTGTCCCTGCCCACGGCAGGGGGGTTGGAACTAGATGATCTTAAGGTCCTTTCCAACCCTAACTACTCTGTGATTCTAACAAGTGGAGTTTAAATTAAAAATTAATTTAAAAATTAAATTAAAAACTAAAATTAGTTTTTCACTAACATGGAAATTAGCTAAAAGCAGTTTATTAGAGTGATTGCATTAGCTTCTAAGCTAAATTTTTATACAGTTTACTTCTAATAACTAAGCAGAGTTTCTGCCTGTTGTTGAGCTATTTTTGCACTAATAAAAGTAGTAAAACATTTCCCATGGTGGTGTTGCATCGATAAAGGAATGAAAGTAATACTGTGCTTCGAAGACAACAGGCAAAAATGGATGCCTGCATGGAAGGAGGAACAGTGGGCATGTCTGTAAGCCTGTTGTAAGAGTTTCTATTTTACAGAGTCTGAAGGAACTCCACACTGGGTTTAGAGCAGTACATTTGCCCCCAGAGGGCAATTTCTGCCATACCACAGCTGCTTAATGTGACCCCCTTGGTGGTTTACAGGGCTCAGAGTTTAATCCCATTTACCCAGTTTGTGGCTTACGTTTCCAAACCCAACATGAAGGATCATCTCCGCACTGTTGAGAGTTGTTTTGTGCAGCTGCAGCAAAAAGGAAAGCTAAATTAAAGTGGGACATGATAACATATCATTTCAATATCTATGTGCACTAGATAAAGAATTTTTTAAGGAACATCAGTATAATCAAAATGGCCATGTACTAAAGTTGGAAAGGTTCTTTATCAAGCTGATACTATTTCACAGTTATCTTGTATTCCTGCAATTTTACTTAGGTTTCAGCTACAGCCTGTATCAGGACAAAAAAGTCCTGGTTCATTTCTTTACAACCTTAACACAAAATACGTATTTTAGATGTACCCTGCTTCTGTAATCACGGAGGAGATGAAAAACAGGCAGCAAGAATGCTTTAATAATTTGGGTGGTATTTATTATCAGCTTGCTAACTCCTTAAACATATGGTTCTGGCAAAATTACTTGCTTAGACTTAACAAAATAAAGCAGTTTTGTGCAAAAATGTATCTTAATATCTATATGCAGATTTAGCTCATTAAAATACCACTAAGCAAACCCAGCAATAGATGCAAGGTCTCAGCATGGTTCCTCCTTACCATGGGACAGAAGTGTTGAGAGTGAAATGTTATTAGATGTAATAGCAGTACATGTAACTTAATTCCACGAGGGTGAAGTGACAAATTTGTATACAAAGTCCCCAAGAACAAACAGATGAACTGCAAATTGTTTTATTCAGGGATAGTGTACTTTGCAAACACAGAGTACTTTGCATACATTTCCATTTTTCTTTGCAGACAGCACTTAAAAGACTCTTTCCATTTTACAAAACAACACTGAACTAAAACGAAAGCATAAACATGTCCATGAAAATATACTGCAGAAATTAGGACAAGAACACCTCAGCCATTTTTCTCTTCTACTGGAACTGACCAATCCAATGTTGGCAGCTTCCCAAAGCAGAAAGATGGCTTAGTAGGATTATTATATTGAAATGCTGGTTTCTACAGAGGAGAAAGACTATCCTGCATGTGGGATGAAGTGTGGAAGATGTGAACTGATCCATGCAGTTTATCTTCTTTCTTTGTTGCTAAAATGACAACAGGTTAGCTTTCTAAAGGCTTTTGCAACCACAGAGGTTCAAAATACCATTAACTAAATCTAAATCAGCATTTAATAATGTAGAGGTAAAACTGGAAACAAATTCAGGTTAAATTATTGCACTCAGAACAGTTTTACCTTTACTTGTGTCCAAGTAAATCTGTCCCACTAAGTAAAATAATACACTGAACTCCTCCAGTCACAATCCAGATCAGTGATTTGGGCCTTGGCAACACACTCCCTTGTGCAGGTGACTCCTTGGGAAAGCGGCATTCCTCAGGTCCTGGACTGCAGAGGAAGCCGAAGGGCCAAATCTGTGAAGTGACTCATTTCAGGTTGTTTGCTTCGCTTCTTGATGTATTCTAGTGTTGTCACCTGGGTACAAAAGGTAGGTATTTTGAGATTTTTAGTGTCTTTGTTTTCAGTTCACAGGCCATCACTTAATTTATATGAAGGTGTTTTGAATAGACACTCCTGATTTTCCCTAAACGTCACTGGCTACAAGAGCACTTGCTTTTCTTTCTCCAGAGCTGCTTATCATGTATACCTTTCTTAAAGTCTCTAAAACACCCACTTTCCAAGCTTACACCATGCAGTTCCTTCCACTAATAAAAATGTTGTACTTCTCTTAAACATAGTTTTCTGTACTGAAAAAAGTTGTAGCACTCAACATCTGCACATTCCTTAATGTGTGAAATACATGTTAAAAGTGCCAGAAAGATACAGACCACTTGAAGTAAGACAAGCTGCTTATTTCTTAAGAAGCATTTAAAAATAAGTGGGGTTTAGACTAATTTATTTTTTAAGACAGCAACTTGTAAAATTATTGGCTTTATTCAGATAAAGAAATGTTACCTTTTCTCAAATGAGGAGTTCAAAAAGATCTTAAGAACTACAATTTCCCTGCATTACCCCTTTTCCTTACCATAGTACTGGTGTCAGCAAAGCCATGCTTCTGAGCAAGATTCCAGAGGTTGACTGAAAGCTGGTTTAGTTTGTTGTTCCGTAGATCCCCATGAGCTAGAATAGTGTTAAAGAAATAGAGTGCCAACTGGCTCTGTCGCTTTAGGGTCTACAATAGAGAAAAAAAATATATAAAAATCCTGTATTATCAGGCAGTCCTCCCAAAATATCCAGCATAGCCTCACCGTATTCTCTGAACTCTCAGAAGTGCAAGGGGCAGACACTCATTTTGTGATACACAGCAATACACAAGAAAATCGGCATAGTTTTTCATGTCAAAACACAAGTAGTGATAATCACGAATCAGCCCAAGTTGCTAACTAAAATAATTACATAAGGTTCCTACATCTTGTCCCACTTTAGCACAGCATGTAGGTCTGACATGTTTTTAACTCAAAGACTCCCTACAACTGCACAGAAATCACTCTCCACCAACCAACCTTCAACTTACATCACCATAGCTATGTATTTTTTAGGGAGACCACTATCACCATCTAGATGAATGCAACTTCAGGCCTCTTCCAGCAGTCTGTTCCACTAAAGATGGTCTTCCTCTGCTGTTCTTTAACTGAGACTTCGGTGATGCCAATGTATTTGTACCATATCTGCAGCTATTTTGCCAAGGAAGGACCTTAAGGAAGATCCCTGCTTCATGGTAACCTACCATAGAGGAGCACCATGCCCTTTAGCCTCTGGAAAGGAGTTCTGGGCACAGACAATCCTGCACTAAGCTTACAGGTTGCTACCATGCTGATTCAGGATGAGAGGAAAACAGAATTAAAATGCTATTGCAGATTCTGCTTATTCCTTTAGAATAAATTCTAAAAGGCTAAAAAGATGAATTATTATTGGATGTATGTGAGTGTAGTATTTGTTTATAGTGCTTTGCTGCAGCTGTCCTTTGTTTTTTGCTCGAGACAGACCACTAATAAAAGTATAGCTCCATCTTACACAGAAACCACAACAGCATAGTAGTAGTTAAAACTGTCAGCTGAGCAGCTCGATTAATGAACTTAATACTTCACTTTAGCCCCCTCAGTTCAACACATACTAGGTAGCTATCACACAGCATTCAGATGTGAAGTTACAGAAGACTGAAGCAGAGACTGGGATAAGAGGAGTGCAGCGATCTCTGATTTGCGCACTCCTGAAATGATGCCAATGCAACCTTGCAGCCTCTGCCCCTTTTCCTAAGGGATCAAAAGTAAATTAATTTCCCTTCTCACTGCCAGCAAGAGAGGTCAGATGCTATTCATCAAAAAAAGGGCACACACTGAGCTATCAGTCCTCCAGATAAACATGGAAAAGGAGAAAGGCACCATTAAAAACCTGGCTAACTAGAAAAGAGAACACAGCATGCCCCAGACTAGAAACATCAGACTGCTACTGTATGTACGAGACACACAGAGTGGATTTGTGCACAGAGAAAAGATCTGACACATGAGAAACTGTGCACCCACACACAAGCATGCCCAGAGCTGCTCCAGGCCCTGGAAGTTCCCTAAGCACTAAACTAATTGCATGAAGCTCCTGAGATGACAGCTGTTCCTTTAACAGTTATCTGCATTAGCAATTTCCACCCCAGTATCTCCAAAACCTGTTCAGAGGCTAAAACCACAACAATCATTTGGAGTGTTGAACATACCAGACAGAGAAATACAACTGATCAGTCTAGTCCCGTAGTAGTAACAGAAAAAGCTGAAATACAACTCAAAAAGACAATAAAATGGAAAGCAGTTATGTTTAAATGCTACTGTAGTATTTCTCTTGTAGGACTCCCATTATTCAGGGGTAAAACAAGGTACAGCCAGCTGGTCCATGTTTTGCCACATTCACAAGACATCCTGCCACATTAATATGTATCCTGGATTAACAAAGTAACCTGTATTAACTATGGGTTTTTTTCCCATTGACCATCTAATGCCTGTATGTCTTCTGCTGAATACAAACTTCAAAGAGGTTCCTGGGAATTGCCTGGAGGTTTCCTCACAAGAAGTGGGACAGTCAAATTATCAGGCAGAATGCAAAAGCAGCAGTACTCTGGTCTGAATATCAACAAACGACGTTTTCCAGGCAGTACCAACGCAAATACAAAATCTGTTCTTTAAAAGAAGGATGATATTTTGATTAATTTAAACCATATATAATTCAGAAAGGATCACACTTCAAAAAGGTTCTAAAAACACATTAAAAAGCTGGAAGAATGAGATGCACACTAACTCTCATTGTATTGGGGTAGGTGTAACAGGATGTTGGCATCTAGTCATGAGTAACACAATATAGAGAGGAGAGGCAGGCTTGGGTATGCAGTAAATCCCACCACGTCTGAAAATGAGTAAGTCAGAGAAAAGGCTTCACGTGATGACGAACAGGAATGTTTGTATACCATGGCACTGACCTCCAACCTGAGAGAGACACGTGTGCCAGCATGCTGCCATGCCTGCTAACTCACCTGAGATGGAAAAGTGGATGGCAATCCAATTTACAGGACATCTTCACAAGCAGCAAGGAGAAAGCAACAGCTCAGCCATTTGGCAGCCACAGACATCATGGGGCTAGCAATTCCCACATCAGAAGGAACTGCCAGCCTTCTAGGCAGTGCATTTTCCATAATTTTTGGAATAATGCTGATGACAGTGAAACAAAACACCTCATCCCAGAATGTGACTCCCTTGTGCCCGAGCCCCTCTACTGAAGTGCACAGCAATGCCCAAATTTCATGTAAACGTAACAGAAAAAAAAAACCAAACCTTCCATACAAATGCCTGTGTAATATATTTCTCAAAATTCTGCCTAGCAATTAAAATATTCATTCCTGTCTGTCAGTGACTTTTGCCAGACATCGATGTCATAAGGATACCTTGAGCCTTCTGTTAGAAAAGCATTTGTGCATTCAGATACGTTGCTCCTCTGAAGGTGCATCCAGCCTGCTGCAGCTCCCATGTAACAGGCTCTGATACTCCTTAAGAGGCCAACTGTGGCAGCACAGAGCTCAGCATGCCCTGTAAGGCTCCTCCAAGGTACTAAATATATCAGTCTAGGCTGAGTGTCCATGCTGATACAACATCTGCTTTCTGGTGTTACCTGAACTATCTAGCCTGAAACTAATTCCAGCACTACTGTGATGCTGGTGCTTATGTCCTTGTGATCCAAACCTACATACTCCTAAAGAAAGCCATGACAGGCAGCCTTGTCTTTCCTTAAAAGCTCTCATGTTAAGCTCTTTAGGAACCTTTTAACATCCGTTTGTTCACTGGAAAGGATCATGAGCTGCATGGGGCAGACCATGTGCTCAACTCTCTCATTACACAACTGTCCTAACACAGGATAAATGAAGCACCCAGCACCAACAGCAGCTCATACAGGCTCATTTATAATAAAAGGAAATAATGATCTGAGAAAACACCAAGAACCAAGCCGCAGCTGGGAGCTCTTATACCACACAAGAGGACACATATCCCCTATTTCACCATTCCTCTAGCATGCTGAGATGGACAGAAGAGAAAGAGCTTTCTCTTGGATACAATCCTTGAAACAGCAGTCCTGAACCTCCCTCTGAAGTACACAGTCTCAGTGACAGCCTCTGCTGACTCAGGGTGCAGTAACACACCTCTAGTTAACGGCAGGCTGAGACACTTCATTTCTAGCTCTATACCGGCACCGTGGCAGCTTAATCTCTATTTCAAAGTCCTTCATGTATTTTTAAAGCTTTTAATATTCATTGTGCTGCTCACATCAGCTTTATTTCCCTCTAAAATTAATCCAACAAAGAAATGCTCCATGTAGAACTAACTTGCGGTTCATGGAAAACCAGACCCTACTTCCCAAAACCATACTGAGTAATCCTGCCGTAGGCTGTTAGCAGAATCCTGATTTATGTATGTTGGTTTCCTCCATTTACCAAGTATGCTGCAAACATGCAGAAACAATGTTCCCAATTAAACTTTCTCTAGTCTTTAAACTCCACCAGCATGCCAGAGGCAATGATGTAATAAAAGGATTAATCTGGGAGTTCAGACTCCAACTCTGAGACAAAGAAGTCGAGTTGACATGCACTCACCAGCCACAGCTCCTAACTGCAATGTACCTATCCTATTGCTGACCCATCAGCAGGCAAGCTGCAAGGTGCCAAAACAGGAACTTCCACCACTTGCAGTGTCTTCTGGAAACTGCAGCAGATAAACTCTTGTCCCTCTCCTCCCAAAGCGGAATATGATGTTTAACCACCTTAGAAAATCTTGGCCAAGGACACAAAATTCTTAAGGATGAGCAAGCTCTCCTCAATTTAAAACATAACCACACACAGAGAACTACGTCCAGCTCTGCTTCTAGTTCAGTATTCAAACACATGAAATCAACTGCAGCTTTTATAAGTTTATATAAAAGTATCAATCAGATGTTTTGAAAGCAGAAGCCCTCAAGAGTATATCCAGAAATTGCTTTTTATTGCTCTTTTTTCGATGCTTACTCTAGAACATCCAGTACCTATCGTATGGTACATGGGAAGACTGCCATCCTGACATGACACTGCCAAGGACACAACAACATGTTTCGAATGTTTTGGATCAAAAGTGGTGTTTGAATAAAACATACTCAATCTGGACATTTACCACCGAGTAGCAAGAGGCAAGGTATTTACACTCCTAAGAAACTGCAGCATAAGATCAGCCTTCCACCCACCCAAAGGCAGAAAGGATTCACTGGTGCATGCTCTTGTGACCAGGAACAGCTTGAAGTTTACAGAACTATCCAGAACAGAAAATATCCATTCCAACACTGTCACGTAACTGAAGCATTCTCCAAAACTGCGAAAAGATCATGCTGTGTTAACATAAGATGCACAATTCTCTTCCAAATCGCCCTTTTGGTGAAAGCATTTTACTGTGAGTAAAATTTATCTTCCTTTATAGCTTTTAAAGGAAATGAACCAATAAAAAATGCAGAATCATCAGAGACTTGTTCATTTAAATGAGCAGCCAAGAAGATGAATAATAAAAGGTCACTGACACTGAAGCAATCCAAATACCACAGTGATTTTATGACTGGTTCTGCTTTAGCACAAATGGAGGCGTCTGACAATATTCTCGTTGCCTCCATTCCCTCAGCAACAACAGCTTCCTCAAAAAACTATTAATTCTTACACACCAACTTGTATCTTAACCTCTCAAGGACTTTTAGTCAACTAAGCAAAATAAATGCTCCCTCTTTGTAAATAAGGACCAACAGAGGAGTAAACCCAGGGCCACAGAGGCAAAGGCAGGGCAAGGACCTATATCCATGCTGCTTAGCTTTAAATCCAGTTTTCTATGCAACAACTGCTTCAGCGAAATAACACAGGATCTCATTACTCAAAGTACTAAGCTTGAAAGAAAAAAAAAAAGCAGCCTTTCAGAAACCACAGATTTCAAGCTTTACAAACATTCACACACACATACTCCATATAGGAGTCAGATGCAAAAAATCCTAAATATACAAGCCATAGGCCTGAAAACACTGTTAAAAATCTCTTCCAAATATCTGCTTGGATATTCTAAGCTGTGCAAGAGTGGTTGTTTTCTTCTGTTACTGTTCTGAAAAAGAACTGCTATTCACTGTGGTGATGTGTACAATAATGTAGAGTCATTTGAGCAAAGAGTTTATTCATCTTGCATCTCTACTATTGCTAAAGGAAGGATACATAGGATATCGAAAGTAGAGAAAAGGCTAAACTTAGCCTAGTGTCCTCCAAATATGTATCATTCAACACATTCTGTATTGGCAAACACTACAGGCTATTGTGCAAACAGGCTACCTAAAAAATTACATCAAATTAATCATCCCCTGCCCTCCCATTTCACTCTACAAGAAACAGGATTTCTATCAAAACAGCAGTTTAGTAAGGGGTGTTTAGGAAGTTGTGGAGGGGTTCGATCTCAGAAACAGCAAATTCTCATTATTTCAGTAATACTGAAAACTTCACTCATCTGCCTTTCACATACAATCCATTACCCTGTATTTGATCCCTTAGAGATTCTGAACTCCAATCAAGAAACCCAATAAGCTGCCTAGAGTTTTCTGTATTCAATATTGAACAAATATGACCCTGCATTAAAAACAGGATAAAGCCAAAACATCTTTCCCCTCCCTCTGCACCTTTCTCCTGACTTTATCCTAGTGTCTGGAACCCAAAACTTTTACCAGTTAAAGGTGGTTGCCATTGTATTTTACCCAGTAACAGACTAGTATTGTGTACAGTTCTGGTGTCCTCAACATAAAAAGGACATGGAACTTGTTGGAACAAGTCCAGAGGAGGGCCATGAGGATGATCAGGGGACTGGAGCACCTCCTGTATGAAGACAGGCTGAGAAAGTTGGGGCTGTTCAGCCTGGAGAAGAGAAGGCTGCGTGGAGACCTCATAGCAGCCTTCCAGTATCTGAAGGGGGGCTATAGGGATGCTGGGGAGGCACTCTTCATTAGGGACTGTAGTGATAGGACAAGGGGTAATGGGTTAAAACTTAAACAGGGGAAGTTTAGATTGGATATAAGGAAGACATTCTTTCCTGTTAGGGTGGTGAGACACTGGAATGGGTTGCCCAGGGAAGTTGTGAATGCTTCATCCCTGGTGGTGTTCAAGGCCAGGTTGGACAGAGCCTTGGGTGACATGGTTTAGTGTGAGGTGTCCCTGCCCATGGCAGGGGGGTTGGAACTAGATGATCTTAAGGTCCTTTCCAACCCTAACGATTCTATGATTCTATGAATTCTTACTTTCCCGTTACAAAATTGGGCATTTCAGACTACTGTTAACTTAGCTGCCAAGAAAAGATGGTTTATTTACAGAGAGAGAAAGTTGACAGCCATGAGGAAAAAACAGGAAGGACAGATACAGAGCAGATTTTAGGCATAACTACAGGCAGTCAAAAGAGCGACTGTGGCACCCAGTTCTCTTAGGCCAGTAATTGCAATACCAGCATCATCCAGCTCATTATAGTCACTCTCATAAGAAAAAAAGTTATCCCAGACTGAGCATCATATTTCCATAACCAAACTACACCAGGACTCAAGCCTGTTAATTTAAAGCTAACTCTAAACCACAGAGTATCATGTTTCCATAATCAGACTACACCAGGGCTCAAGCTGGTTAATTTAAAGCCAACCTCACTATGCTGCTCTGCAATCATTATTCTAGGCACTGCACGTGCACAATCAATACAACAGAGTAGCTTCTACTGTTCGTTGGTTTGTTGTACTATCTGTATACAACATATGGCTAAGCAGGTAACTTTAGCCTGAATATTAGAAATGTATTATAATTGCTACATGATCTGTTTCGCATCATTAGGTCTCTCCACCACAAGCCTGCCTACGTGACTGACCCACCTTTTAACAAGTAAAATTACCTAGTTTCCTCCTGTTGCAAGGTTCCTGGAGATTTGTATATAACAAAGCCTGGTCAAGAAGCTAGACTATTTATTGAACTCCAAAGTAATTTTGGTTTTGTACTGAATCAAGCTGAGTAAGAACATACCTCTTCTTTTCCAAGGGTTTTCAGATGATCCAGGATCTGTGCTATCACTGTTTCACACAGTTTATTAATTTCAGCCAGGAACTTGGAGTCTCCACCATACAGGGTATCATTAGAATCAACTGCAGAGATGAATTCAAGCTTAGGTTTGGCTAAAGAGCTATGCATTTATTTGCTACTGAAAACACCAGCTATTTATAAAAGATCAGATTTAGAAGTTATAAAATGACCCTTCTCCTCCAAGAAACACAAACAGAACAATCTCGTTTAAGTGCCTACCACTTTGTTACCTACTATCTCCTGATTTAAGGAAAAAAACACTGAAAAGAATCTTCTAGGTTAAGGCCAGTCCTGTATTCTGGATGCAGCCAGGTTCAAAAACATCTGCTAGACTTAAATGCAAAGCAATATATAGTGTTAATTTTCACTTTTCCCACAGAGACAGACTCCCTGTTCCCATCAGTTTAGAAGAGTATGGCTACAATCTTCAATGGCAGCAGGGCTGGGCCAAACAGTTTACTTACTAAAACCAGCAAGATTTTCAAAGGAAACTGCCTTTTTTAACTAAAATAAAGCCTTGACTACCTCAAAGTTATGGACAGAAATTCAGGAAGTGTATTTTCAAATTCAAAGACCCTGAAGGATATTTTTGGGGGGTAAGGGGAGAGAGAGCTCCATGTTTTTAGGGCTTATACAGTTACGATTTTAAACACGTTTTGGCTAAATTTATTTACGTTTTAGTAAGAAGGTGGTTACAAAAATTTGTAAGTTTACGTGGTTTAGGTGTATTCTGGGTAAACCAGAGAGCACTCGAGATAAAAGGTGATCCCCTTTTCTCAAGCAAACTTCATTTTAAGAAGCTAAGGTACATGCTCCACATAGGGAAAAAAAAAATCATCCAGCTACAAGGGAAAAATTAGTGATTTATATTTCCATGCTTCTTTCCCTTGAAATATAATTAATTCAGATTTCTCATCTTGGGATTATGCAGCTGTTTTGGTCATATAAAACACAGAGTGAAAAAAAGGGCAGCTAAACCACATTTCCTTACAGAACCTGAAAAGTAGATTTACTATAGAGTACTTGTTCAACAGACAACTATTTTCTGTGCTGCTAACTGCAAGAGGTGCTTTGTCATGGTTGGTAACTCTGAGAGCCTATCCAGCAGAAAAACTGCAGAATGTATTCCAGCCTGCCTCCTTGTGAAAGCCCTGTGCAACTTGAACAAAGGCCAAACTAGCTTGGCCTCTCGAACTAACTAATCATGTCAGTGTGCTTTAAAAGGCCTGATTAATACTCTACCTTAATTTAGTAACCTCTTTATGATCAGAAGGCAAACACTCAAATCTTAGAGCATATTAAAAAATATTACAAAAAGACTACAGCTATTTTATAAAATGAAAAATCTTCAGATTCTTTTTTTCTAGTTCTGAAAATTTTTGTAAGTTACCACCACAATTTCCAAAACTAAAAGCCTGTATTCAAAGCAGCAAATACACCCTTTAATAATGAAGAGTAGGCATTGCATGCTAAATTGGAGTAGTTCATAGATGTGAATGAAACACCAACAACAGGTGTAAGTCGACACTTTAGACTAAAAGAAAACCCTCCATACATAGGAAGTTCTAATAATTCATAGTTCTAAGTATTTGCACCAGCACCACCAGGAATAAACTATGTAAAACACTCTACACAGTTCCACATTAAAGAACAGACTGTACATCTGTTCAGGAGTCACTCCTGTGATTACTTTAAGTTACAATATCTGGACCTGCATAGGAAAATAATCCATTCTGTATTATTGACTATCATTGACCTTCATTAACTAGGTAAGATAACAATACTACAAATTGCATGGTGGAACACAAGGATACAGAGCCACCCTTATTTATTACCTTTATCTACATGGTAGATATATACTTCTTGAGTCATCGCAGACAGCAGATGCAAAACATTAGTATAAATCCTGACTTTGTCATCACTGTTATCCTCCCAAGTGTAATCCTGGATCACATTTAGCAATCCTCGCACAAGAAACAACACTCCTTGTTCTGGATGGTCCTGTAGAAAAGAAAAATCAAGACAAGTCAAAACCACCACCATAACCACCCCAAAACCAAACTTGGATTATTTGCAGTAATTCAGGGGCTTAGTCATAATATTACCTCTATAAAAGCAAAAACCACAATATAATTAAAGCTGACAACTACTTTTCTTAAGTAAGTGCTTTCTGCAAATCCTTTTAAAAAATTGTTCCAGTTTCCTTCAAAAATGCCCATTTGACCCATAATCACAAACTTGATCTAAGGCAGTCTCCATGGACAAACTTTGAAATGCTTTGTTTTCTAGTCACGGGGGAGTAGTACAAAATTTAATTGCCAGCTTTGTAACAGCTAAGCCTCTAAAATTACACACACCGGGTAGACTTTTTAATTTAAATAATGTCAGTAAGCTACAGAAACAAGTATATTACTCATATAATTATGAGTTTCAGAAGAACACCTACACTGGAAAGTCAAAGCTACAGACAATCAACAATCTTTCATTATGAAAGGAATATAAAGACATCCGATTTACATAAGCTACAGGGTTTTGCAAGTAGTTTTAATACTGCGCCCAGCTTATTTCAAAGTGATGGTGCAATGACACCAACATGCATAAAGACAAATCACAGTCCACTGGGGACACTTCCTTCTGATCATCTATCCTGTCAAGTAAGGAGAAAAGATATTATGGAAGCTAATTTCTGAATTCTGGTATCTCATTGCAAGTTCCTCAGTACTGAATCCATGAGGCAAATTCCTCCTTCAATCGTCTGATCCAAGCCATTTCTCTGAGCAGCATCAAGTTCTGATAATAGCCTTCCTTCAGAGGAAGGTCAACAAAATACCTTGGCTGTGTAAGTTTTATCTCAGATCTTCCAGACTAATTTACAATTTTTCCTCATCTTTCAGCTACAGCTGAAAATACAGGAAGGAAAATTACATCTATATGTCTAAACTTGGCAGCTGGCTAAAAATCGGAAGGGAGCAAAATGGCAGTATTTTGTGAAATATTCGTTAGAAGAGGAAAATCATGCACAAACACATCTATCTTTATTTTTTCCCACTCAAAAGATTAGGCAACCTGTAATAAAGTAACTGAAACTAATAGAAACTACAGCTGTATATTTTTCCCCTCCTCAGGTATTAGATTTTATAAGTGCTTAGCTAAAATACCACATTTCTGCAAGGATCTATTAAACCAGTAAATTATTCTTACACAATTAAATGATGGTAAGATTTCTTAGAATCATAGAATAGTTAGGGTTGGAAAGGACCTTAAGATCATCCAGTTCCAACCCCCCTGCCATGGGCAGGGACACCTCACACTAAACCATGTCACCCAAGGCTCTGTCCAACCTGGCCTTGAGCACCACCAGGGATGGAGCATTCACAACCTCCCTGGGCAACCCATTCCAGTGCCTCACCGCCCTAACAGTAGAGAACTTCTTCCTTATATCCAATCTAAACTTCCCCTGTTTAAGTTTTAACCCATTACCCCTTGTCCTGTCACTACAGTCCCTAATGAAGAGTCGTCCCCCCCCAGCATCCTTGTAGGCCCCCTTCAGATACTGGAAGGCTTCTATGAGGTCTATCCAAATCCAGTTAAGTGCAAGATGCTACCAAGAGAGGCAATGCTGTTCTCCAGCTCCAACTATTCTGCCTCCCCATTTTGCACTTGGGTGAGTGATTTTGCAGCCAATAAGCAAATGGGCTCAGCTTGCTCATGGAAAACCAAGCACTGCATCTCCCACTCCCAAAAGCCCACTGTACTCTAAATTTTTAAACAGGAAAGTCAAAATAGCCTATGTGCTATTCATAAACACATGACTTACCGGAACAACTAATAAGGTGGAAAAAAAATTGCAAAGGAATTCCAGGAGGAAGGCGTCAGAAGGTCGCATCTTTCCATCAACATTGATCATTTTTGGTACTTCAGGAACAAGGCTCACTGCAGCTTTGAAAAAAGCATCAGCTACAAAATAAATATATAGTTGCTGTATTATTAACTCCAGCTGTGATGGCACAGCCATGCCCCTGATCCAGTGACTGCTTCAAGTTTGTTTGAAATAGACCACAGAAAATGAACCTATGCTTAACTGCAAAGAAACTCGAGACTCAGCAATCAATATCTGCTGCAATTTAAGTGATGCTGGTTTTTCAAAAGAAGTTGCCACTTCACTCGAGGCTTGTGAACTTATAATTCTCCTTTGCTTAACAGGAAGACACCACTCTTTCAAATAGACTGCAAATGTAATTAACAAGAAAAGCACAGAATTCAAAACTGACTTATCTGGCTAATGCTTATGCCAGGAGAATGGGGAACCCAGAGGGGCATGCAAGGGGAAGATCTTGCTATCTGGTTCGCAAATTCATTCACAAAAGGCTATAAAGTTCTAAGAAATTATGGGTGGCTTTGTTTCTCTAAGTATTTACAGTTATTATCAGTAAAATGCTGATACAGTACCAGAACCCAAGGTATCGCTGGATAAAATGATTCTAAGAGTCACAATAGAGGAATTACAGAAATCATCCACCATTATGGCCTTGGCAAAATAGCTTTTAAGATGTTTTTCATAACTCTCTATTAAGTCTCTAATTCTACAAAACCCCTCAAACATGAGAACATCTATTCCTCAGTTTATTAAGTTAATATTCATAAATTAAAACCAATAGTTTCCCTCTCACCCCACACCTCCTATACATGCTAAAAACTCCCCCAAAAGATTCTGACAGCAACACTGGTTTGCACTGTCTTGGCTACATTTCAAAATATCCAAGCACCCAAATCCCACTCAAGCTGTTTAGCTACATACTTCAAAGCAACCTTCAGAATTAATGCTGCATCTTTACTTCAAGCGCAGAGATCGAGGCCCTGAAACCAGATTTTAGCAAAGCATAAAAAAGAATTCTTGGTGAAAGCCAAGAGATGGCTGAGATGGAGACACCACTGCCAGGCATTCATGGGTACTTCCAGGAGTGCAGCTTGCTCTGGAAAAATTCATTTGAGCACATGCGACTCCAAGCAAACTTGCTAAATATAGCCCCAACTGATACCTAATTCAAGCTCCTGAGGAATAGCAGGGAAACATCTGCTTTGGAAAAACTGTAAATTTTCCTGACTCTTATTTCTTTTCAGCAGACAAGTGCTCAATCCCTTCTTAACTTTTCAGTGCTTACAACACAGGCCCCTTCAGTCACACATCATACTTCTTTTATTCTGCACATGAGGTGAAATAATGACTTATTTATTTCAAACATATAAGTTTGAACAGCCAACCCAAAGGAAGGCAAGTAATCTTGCTGAGCTTTATTAGAGGAAGGAAAGCAGCAGCTGACGTTCATTCTAGCACAAGTAAATGAATCGCTGTCACTTCCACAGTTGTCTCAGGAGAAAAAAAAAGCACATGCCCTACATCACTTTATAATAAAAACATGTGAGCAGACAAATGAAAAAATGTGTCTCAGAAAACAGTCTGCATTCCAAAGTACCCACATCTGTGCAGAGAATACCCATGCCTTCTGAAGTTATTTCAGCGGGACAAGAAGGGTCTGTGCAGCAATCAGTCTCCATAATGAAAGAGAAATAAAAGTACCTCACCTGCTCTCCCAGCAATCACAGTCCTAGACATTCTCCTCTAAACATTAGACACAGCACGAAAACCAAACCCTCTATCTTCACTATGACTTTCTGCAATTTGATTAAATTTACTCTTCCTTGACCTCCTGCAGCCACTGCAAACGAGAGATGACTTCTTATGTGGTTGAGCACCTTCAGAGACACGAGCTCCCTCATTAGACCTGCTAGTTAGAGCAGCATGCCCAGCTCTACATGTGACTGCTGCTGGGAATGAGGAGAGAACTGTCCACGCCACAAACAGCTCACCAAGACCTATCCTCAATGCAAAAAGCTCCTCTCTGCCTCCATGTTGGTCCTTCCTGACTATGACAGTCACAGAACTGCTGCCTCCCTGCTATGACTCTTTGTGGCCGCTGTCCTCTCACCACTGCCACATGGTTGTGTTTACAGCCCCACACACTATTGCTGTCTCAGCACAACAGGGAGACTGTGGGGCTCTTGCCCCTACACTTTCAAATCTTCTTGCTTCATTCCTCCTGCCCCCCACAACACAACAAAAAAACAATAGAGCATAGAAGGAGTTGGTTGCATTTTCTACTAAAGAAATGGTTATTTTACCTTGGTACATCCAGAAGTACCGGCAAAGGAGAATATGTTCATTCTGCTATGGGTTCAGCCAACCTGCACTAACCACAAAATGGTTCTTACACTTGAAAACTAAAAGCACATTTATCCAAGGTATATGTGCTTTGTGAAAAGCAAAAATAAATTCACATTAATGCAAAGGTTTTACTATAGGCTTTGCAGAAAACTGTCTCCCAAACACTACCACCCTATTCACTTGCAGAGAGGTGTCAGAGTACGTATTACATGTTCTGAGTTTGGAGAAAAAATTCACTAAATAGAATGTCACAGGCATGCTCTTTTCCTAATAAGAATAAAATGAGCATTGGTATTTAATTCTTAATTACATTAATTATGAGGTTATGCAATGGTACTTTCTCTATCTCTTTTAACAGCCAATTTATAAAGCTATTGCTGTAGAGATGTTTCGAGAGAAAACCACATGCTTGCTTTTCCTGGTTTAAGAAGCCACAGGAAAAGTACCAAAACTCACAATAATGTTACATTCTTGATTAAAAAGAAACAGAAAAATACAACATACACACAAGAAGACTTCTTCTGGTGAAGGAAGCTGTACTCTTATCTGCCTAATGTATGACACTAGTTCTAAAGTGAGCCACTGTTAAGTTGGATAAGGGGACAGCAGCCTGCACATTAAAACAAATCATCATGATAAAGTCTTCCCAGACTGCTGTTAGTATCTTGTGCAGTGCTCCGAACATGACATACTTCATGCTCTGCTAAATTTATCCTTTCACAGCAGCTCCTTCATTTTAGTTGACCATAATCCCACAAATCTTTCCCCGAGCACACATGTTGACCTTCAGGCTACAAAAACTAAGTCTTGGATATCCAAGTCAGCACTTTCAGTAATACTGTCCCCTATGAAATTGGTGTTGAACATTTTGCTATTGTGTGTATATATGCACCATCATGAATATTGACATTTAATTATACATTCACACAAATATATGTACCTCCATGTATTTCTATCTATCAATCTGCCTACAAATAAAAATTTAACTTACATCGTATTTGCTACATCTAGGAGAATCAGGCAAAAAACCAAAGAGGAACAAAGCCATTAATAATGGGGAAAACAATTAAGCTCCTTAAGTCCACCTTCAAAGAGCAAAAAGGGAGTGAGTTTGACACACCTACACAAACTATTTTTAGTCATGGATACAATTACACAAGGCTAAGTACACCCAAAGGACAAGATCAGGACCATATGCAGTGTTCTTTCTGCATTACACATCACCTTCATGCCCTACAACACTGTCAAGCCTATTTTAATACTCCGAAGATTTTGCTTCCGCATATGACAGATGTTGGAAATATAATGAAGCCTTATACTCCAGTGCAAAAAAAAAAAAAAGCAAGCAGCAAGTGTGGGGGGGTTTTGTTGCCTTTCCTTTTTTTTTTCTGTTAAATAAAACAATGCATTAGTGTTTTGTCAACCAATCATTGCAAACATTTGGAACTCCTCCTCCTCACCTTGGTGAGGCCACTATGAGAGTTTTGCCACATTGCTGAAATGTGTTTTTCCCCTTGAGCTATTGAACATTCTCCATCTTAGAATTCTCTACACGTCACTTCCAATCTAGAAACTACAAAAAATTATTTGAAGTAACAAAGATGAAATTAATGGCTGCTGCATGGTGAACTGGAATGCACTATAATACTATTCCATACTAATTCATACTATGCTGCAGATAAAAAAGTAATTATGTGGATGAAGCCTGCTAGTGCTAGTTAGAGGAATAACTTGATTATAGATTGTTACAAGGCCTTAGTACTTCCAGACAAAGGCATACAGAGGCGTAAGTGGAGGAGAAGATTTGTACAGGGAGACCGTGCAGTATAAGCAAGAACACTGGATACAAGATATTTTATCCTTAAACTGTGATCAGTAAACACAACACCACCACCACCACCCAAAAAAGAAAATAAACCCAACAAATCCTCCAAAAATTCAGCCTGACTCTTTAAATTCCATGTAATCGCTAAAGGCTGTGAGGTAAGGTATTGTCAGCAGTCTATCAGTAATACTGTAAACTTCAAGATGATAAACTTAATAAAGTTGAATACTGTAGTTTCTCCTGGTTATTATGAAATGGGAAAAAAAAATCTAGCAAATGAGCAGACACAAGGAAAAACCTGACACAACACTGAAGTGTCAATATGGGTTTTGGAGACAGAAATCATTCCTCAGAAAGTTTTCGTAAGAACCCACAAGTTTGTGTTTAAAGTGACCCACAGCAAACAGGAATACTCAGATTTTTAAAAACATTTAACAACGTTCCTCACACAAAAGGCTTTTAAAACAGCTAAGCTGGCAAAAGATAGGGAGGAAAGTCCTCCTGAGGATTCATAAGGATGAGGTGGAGGGGGAAAGGAGCAGGAATAAAAAGTTTTCACAGTGGAGTGAAATGACGATTGTGTCCTTAAGGTTTGTCAGGGAAACAGGTCCTTACAATGATCTGGGAGGGAACAATGTTTGCAGACTAGTCTGGAACGTGACTGCAAAGAATCGCAGATGGATCTCATGATTCTGAGCAATAAAACAGCAGATGAAATCTAATATTAGTAAGGCATATGGAGAAAGAAGCAGCCCTTGCAGTAACTATAGAAAGTTAAGCTCTAAATAGGCTATTTACACTCATGAAAGGTTTTGGAGTCACTGTAGATGGTTCCTTGAAAACTACATCCTAAATAGCTGTCAAAAAGGCAAGGCAATTATAAGAATCATTAGGACAGTAATGGAAAACTGAGGTGTCACTGTATCATTTTTATAGCTGTTGTGCATTTATACCTGGGATACGGTCCCAATCTTCCCATTTCCAAAAGAATAAAATTAAAAAGGTCCCAATGCACGGAACCGTCTCCTTATTAGAAAAGACTTTACTGACTTGAATTCTTATCAACTTACCAACTCCATCATCTCATAAACAGCGTGAAGAAAATGAACCAAGAATGACTGAATTTATCACAGTACCACTAGTAGCTGCTTGCACTGAAACACTCAATATTTAAACAGCATATGAAAATAAATCCCTAAGTAGTAGATTTCCAAGTACTATGCAACCATAGAATTCACTGTCACATGAAGTTACAAAGGGCAAGAAGTAAAACTTGGTTTAAAAAAATAAATTCCTAAGGATCAGTCCATCTCATTTATTAAACACTGTCATCCTTGTGCAACTTTGCTGAAGGATGTATATAGACCACATGCAACTAAAAGCTAGGAAGCATCATTCTACACTATTGTTTCTTGTATGCTCCCTTGGGTAGATGCTACTAGACACCTTCAAAAACAGGTCATGGGCTAGACAGCCTTGAAGAGCTGGCAAACTGGTATGAAATGCTAGTCCGAAAAGCTTACAGAGAGAGAGATGCCCTCTCTGGAAAAGCTATTGGCTGGGATAAGGAGAAGAACAAGAAGCAGCTCAGTGAATGGGAGAAGTTTCCAGCCGTGGAAATTCCAGGTAAAAGTAGTATTTTTTTTTTTTTTCAAATAAAGCAACATTTAGTATTACTAGTGAGGAAAAACGTATCTCATTACTTTCTCCTAAAGCTACTTTACTGCCTTCAAGGAAAACAGTATTAAAAAAGATAACAAAGACATCATATCAGAGACAGCATACACCGATATCACCGGAAAATCCTGAGCCAAGAAGCCCCAAAAGCATTTGCTAAACAAAATAAAGATCTGTGTCGGTTGATTTGGGGGTCAAAGACTACCTGGTTTTATGAAGTTTTATGCTTGACAACATCCCAGTGAAATTAGTCACACAGAATCAGCTGAATTACTTTATTCACCCAGCATGTTACCTGTGAAGCGAGGCAAGGATTTCATGGCCTTTAAAATGAAAATGCTGCTCAACACACATTACCAGAAAAGTTACATCATCTCTACCCACCTGCTGAATGCTGTGACCAGCAATTAAAAAAATCACGCTGTTCTCTGACAGTCAAAAGCAGCATTTCAGCAGGGAGGAAATGTATGCAATTAAAATAATACCTATAGGTCTTTTCCAACCTGGTTGATTCTATGATTCAAAAATTCAGGAAAGTGGTAACAGAGGATGCATTTAATCTGAATTTAGTCCAAGCACTCCCTATGACAGAAAGCATGACTGATGAGAATTCAGTATTTTATGTTGGCAGCATGCAGCATTCTGTGGCTCAGATTGAAAAAAAGAAAAGCATATCTCCATAAAATCTAGCATCTTCCTATCTTCCTTTCTAGGGTGGGCTCTTAAAAGGCTGACCAGAGGTACAAACTGTGCATCCAGGACAGAATCACTTAAAATGTGTCGAACATAATCACAGATTCAATTTATTTGAAGCACTTCTTGGGAGCTGGAAACAAAAGAGACAGTAGTCATAGTATCCCAGACTGGTTTGGATCCTGGAAAGGACCTCAAAGCTCATCCAGTTCCAACCCCCTGCCACGGGCAGGGACACCTTCCAGTAGACCAGGTTGCTCCAAGCCCTGTCCAACCTGGCCTTGAACACTGCCAGGGATTGTGCAGCCACAGCTTCTCTGGGCAACCTGTGCCAGCACCTCAGCACCCTCCCAGGGAAGAACTTCTTCCTAATATTTAATCCAAATCTACCCTCTTTCAGTTTAAAGGGTGTCATGATTAATACATGTTGAACAGCATGCCTGGACAGACATCTGTCAGTGTATTAATACTGGACTTCTCGTGAGCCTATGAATTCATTTTTCCTGACACAATTTCATCATATTAAAGAAAATCTATTCCAAGAAAAATTACAATTACAGCTTTCTAATACTGAAGTTTTGAGGTGAGTTCAAACAAGCACCACACAGTCACTTTGATTAACAGTGAGGCAAATCCCAGCAGGCAATGCTCCGATTTGATAGAGGAAATTGGAACAGCTAGACACTAGGACTGATGGTTACTGCTGCTACCCCTTGGGATTGGGAATGACACAAAACCCAAACTCCTCCACAGTTACAGGCAGATCAGCTGTGGCTCTGCAGTTGTCAGTAATATCTCAGTGCAATTCTCAGACTGCCAAACTTTAGTTACTGCTATGACCTGCACATCCATTTTATAAAACAGCAATCTTTCAAATTCCCCTTATCTACCCCAATTGGTACCATAACTCCTTTTTCAAGTTAGATACATTGGCAATTTAGAGAAATCTTCCTATTACCCATTACCAAGAGAAGTCTATTCTGTCAAATTCAATTTCATGGAAAATTCAACTTCACAGAAAACAACAGCTGGAATTTTAAAGAGGAATTGCAGGCACATGTACACACACACATCCATACCTCACTGGTGACTGAGCTATCAGATCAGGTACATTACCTTTCAGTTTTATTTCTCTTCCCAATTCTAAACAGATTAAACTAATTCCAATCAGCATAAAATAAAGGTTATATACAAGGCACAATTTCACTTCATAGCCTACTGCTATCATTAATTACACACTATTAAAACTTCACGTCACACTGCATTAGTTCTTGCAGACCAGTGTCTAATTGCCATCAGTTAACTCAGTTAACTGACTGGATTTAAAGTTGCTGTTATGAATTAATCAGTACTTCTTATAAAATTGAAATGCATTACAGATTAAACTGTGTTAAAAGTAACTTTCAAGGACGTTATCTGACTACAATACATCACAATCTGCAGAAACAATTCACAAAAAATGTCCCAAGACTGGTGTCACTGTTCCCTAACTGGTTAACACATGCTAAATTACTCATGCAAGTGACATGTCTCTGACTAAAAATTATACCCGAAATAGCATTCCTAAGGAAGCAGAAAAATGTGTAACAATAAAACCTTGGTAAACCAAGCGAGCTACTAAACTTTGCATACGCTTCATTTCAACAAAAACTGAGATGGACCAAATGCTCCTCCCTCTAGACTGTGGGTCTAAAACTCAGGAGAGAGTGGCTAATAGATACGTATTTTAGAGATTGAGTTCACAATACTTTGCACATACCCGTTACCTTAAAAGATTTTAGAATGGGGATCCTACTCATTGTTTAGTGAGTGCATTGTGTTCATATGTCAAACTCTCACACTGAAAAATGCGGATAATTGTCAGAACCCAGGAGCATCTCTCAGAGAAGACCTGGATCACAAACATGATGGGAAGGCAGTTTATAAATTGAAAGATTATTAAATCACAGAGTTGGTCCCACAATGGGCAGGACATAGACCTTGAAGACTGAACAATGCAGAAAAACTGCTTTGGATTTCTTCTAACTAGAGATACACTGCAACAGAGCAACAATAACAAAAATTGATACAGATGATAAAGTAAGCTGGTCAATTAAACAAACACAAAGAAGAAAAAGTGAGTCCATTTTTGGTAAACTCTTATCTACAAAGAAACTGCACAGTACTAATTGTACAACAACAGACTTTGCAGATCTTTTATTTTCACAACATACTTGGACAAAATGGCTTTATTCTAAATCCCTCTGCTTTGCTACATGGGCAGTGTCAGATTCAAAACAAAGAAACACAACAGTCACCCTGTACTAAAAAGTCTTTATCAGCATCCTAAGTCAGCTTGTTTGTGCAGCTGGAACTTACTGGTAAATGCAGGGCTTGGAAAGCAAGCTCTTGTGAAGAAGCAGACAGCTAAAACAAAGAATTAATAGCCACAACAAAAGATGTTGCAAAGTAATCCAATTTATTACTCTCACAGCCCCACTGAAAACATGTATAGGAAAAGCATTCACCATTAAAAAGCAGACATTTAAAGTCAGTATTAAAACTGCAAAACAAAGTAGAATGACTTCACTTAAAAAAAAAAGGAAAAATAAAATACTGCAAACAGTTAAAAGTATGAAAAGACTTTCAGAATGGGTAACAGGTTTCATTAGTGGTATGAATAGGCATAAGACAACATTAACCGATGATGCAGGCTCAATACTCATTCTGGTGCCCAGAGGAGCTCCAGCTGTTTCCCCAAATCACTTTTTGCCAGAATTTCCAATTACTTAAAGACTGAGCTAAAGGATGGTTACAAACTGTACTCAGGCCCTGGTTCAATAAATATTTCAGATCAAAACTAGAAAATACATTTTTCATCCTTCATATTATGTGGTATTACTCCATTGCTTCACTCTGATGCAGAGGCATATTTCTTAGCTAAACATTTTTCACACACGTGCTTCAGTAGCAAGTTTCTAGCATCAATGACCTAAGTTTTAATTCTTTTCCAGCCTGTGGCAGGATTTTGTCAGCTTGTGAACTACTACACAGACGAACTAGTTCCTTTTCCCACAGTTATAATAAAGCACGTAATTTGTGACTAGAGTGCTTGCATAATTATGCAGGAGGAAAATAAAACATTCCATGCTTTCCATAATTTCTAAGTCATTTAGGACAACCTACCTCATAGCCATGACTATATCATGCAGACTCAGATATCTGTCTTGGTTGTTTAGATCACAGGATGCGTTAGAATTGAAGAGTTGCTTTATGTGACAAGTTTTCACTGTAACAATGCTTGAAACAGGGCTGTATTTTAATTACATCATAAATATCCTTATACAACTTATGATTTCAACCAAGTTATTATTCATAGCTAGAAATACTTCTGAAATAAGAGAACCTTTAAATAGACAGATTTGTGCCTTACCTTGTGAAAGACACTGATTTGCCAGAGCAACCTGTCCAGAGTGCAGATACAGATTAAGGCGTGTGAAGATACCACTCAGAGATGGAATTGTAATGAAGCAGAAGGCAACACAAGCCTAAAGCAAATTAAAAAAGGAAACTGAAGAAAATTCCTATCTCAGAGTTAATTCCTATCTCAGAGTTACAGCAATCATTACTGATTTTACACACCATTAGGAATCAAAATCTGTAAATTGGTTTGGGGAAAGACTTTCCGTAAAAAGAAAACATTACGTGAAGTCCAAAACCAGCAACTTCAAATTTCTTATTATTTCAGTAAGTATAACAATATTTATTACTATTAATTCTTGTTATTACAAGTACATTAACTCAAAGCTTACTCTATGACTCTAGCTCAGAGTCCCTCTCTCCTCAGGTAACCAGCTTGCAGCTCAAGACCAAAATGTAGGAAAGCAGGGACAATCCATGTCAGGTGCACTGTGTGCATCTGGGAGGAAGCAGATCCAGTGCAGCATGCTGCAGCTTTAAACCTACTGGAACAGGCCAAATACCTAGGCTGAGCAAATAGCTCCCAGCCATACAGAACTTGGCCCATGCCACCCTCACTATCCTTTGTCCAGGACATCAGTGCCCAGGTACCACAAACAAAAATCCATTCTTTAATGGTAGCATATGTAAACACCTTCCAGCACACAAAGATGAAGACATCTTAGTTCATAGAATCATAGAATAGTTAGGGTTGGAAAGGACCTTAAGATCATCGCTACATTTCAGGTGAGAAGGGGGGAACACAAGCAACTTGCACAGCTTGTGCATGGTTCAAAGCTCATTTGATCATATCTGTATAGACTCAAGAGGCACTACAGTTGAAAGCAGCACTTTATTTGAAATTCAAATACTGGTTTCAGCATATCAACACTGATATTATGAGACAGTTTAAATATATTCTTTTCTCCCCATCTCCCATTCTTGCTGCGACTGTTACGCAGAAATTACATACTTGGTTTCATACCTAGTTTGAAAAGCTGAGCTTTCTAGAATTCACATGAACATCCTTCCAATGGACCTTCCTTTGGAGAGGGAGTCAGTCTTACTGTTCTTTTTTAACACAAAGCTGCTATATTAGATGCTTTGGGGCTTTTTTTTTTCTAAAACAGCAGCATTTGCTTTAGAGAGTAAAGATCAATGGTAACAAGAGAAAACAAGATTACAAACAGCATAAAAATTACTAACACATTGGTTTTGCAAAAACTATAAACTTAGGTGGCATCAGATAGTATTGTCTGCTACGGCAGCAGGCTCAAAGTTTGTTGGAGTCAGACCTACCCTGACAAACGCTGCAGTCTTTCTGGAATGATTTCCTTTCATCACCTTTCTTGTTTCCATTGCCAGCTGGTTCACAGACTACACATAAAAAAACAAAAGCAAATCATTAAAGAAAAATGCACAGACTTATTAGGTCAGCAGCAAGTAACAAACTGCATGTTTTACTGCACGCACTTAAAGAACAGAAACTGTCAAAAGGGACCCTGAAACGTTGTGCTCTCACTGTACTACTTAGTTTTCACTTGGAGAATTTTAGTGACTGCCTTAAGGCAAATACAATTCTGAAGGTTTGTGAAGGGAGACTTGCTGATTTATTCAGGCTTTAGGTCCTCCCTTGCTTCCCAGCTATAATGCCGTCATCACCTCCTCCCTGGTGGAAAACCCACGATTTCTAGTTTATTAAAAAAAAAAAACAAACAAAAAACAAAAAACAAGCCCAACCACAAAATAATAAAAGGATTTAAGAGAAGATACAATGCTGCAAAGGAATCAGATGCAACTAATGCTCACCTGACATGTGACTGAACACAGAAAAGAGATTAACCTTCCCCATCACAGCAGGACTCTGCTTGTATCTGCAGTCAGACATAGTCTAATCTCTCCTAGATGGAGGGTTACAGAAGATAGAACCGAAATTCTGACTGCATAAAAGTGCCATTTATTTTGTAAGACATGAAATCTCTAGCAAGACAGACAGTTTTCTTTGTTGCAATGATACCATGCATGCCTGTCAAGCAAGAACTTCACAGAGTTTAGCATGATAACATGAGAGATAAGATCAAAGTCTACTTTAAAAACACCTGATAAAAAGACTTCAGACTTACTCTGACATAGACCAATAATCTGGACAGGGAATGGGAGAATGTCAAATATATCCCCACTTGTTAAGATAATGGAGATAAACTGAAGCTTACATGAATCAACTGGACTAGAACAGGCTCCAAATTGCAAAACATTGACCTGGCTTCAACATAGAAACTCAGCTGTTGTTCAAAGTCACGGCCAAATGAAACCTATAAAAGACAAAAACTCATCGTTTTTACCATTGTAGGCCATTAACTTTAAGAAACAAACAAAAAAAAATGCATACAGACAAACCACAGATATTCAAAAGTCAAAATCCCTATATAGTGGTGTAAGAAAAACTCCCACCGCTAACAAAAAAATAGCACCTGGAGTATCTGTGTCCTTTTAACTGTATGATTTCCAATACCTAACCTTCAGGGAAACTTGAAGGTTTTGCTGCTTTTTTGGCCATACTCCACAGGATCTCCTACTTCACAGATCAAGAATTTATCAATAAAACAAAATTTAAATCCTAGATTCATGAAGTCCTTTCAAAACAAGCAGAACTCTCAATTCTTCACAGAACAGGGATAACACTTGTTACAGTTCATACTTAAAAAGCAAAACAAAACAAAACAAAACAAAAAAGTTCTTTACTGTTAGGGTGGTGAGGCACTGGAATGGGTTGCCCAGGGAAGTTGTGAAAGCTCCATCCCTGGCGGTGTTCAAGGCCAGCCTGGACAGAGCCTCAGGTGGCATGGTTTAGTGTGAGGTGTTCCTGCCCATGGCAGGGGGGTTGGAACTTGATGATCTTAAGGTCCTTTCCAACCCAAACCATTCTGTGATTCTAAAACCCCAAACAACAGAAAAACAGAAACAGGTCAGTGAATCTGTACTCAGATTCCTGTAATTTCTAGTTGATATAGGGCCTCTGAGAGAGATCAGCATCTTCCTAACCAGATGTACCAGTTGTAAAAGCAGAGTTTCCTCCAGTTTGGTTAATAAATATATGCTTATATAGCATGGCAAAAGCCTGAAAGCTTGCAGGCTGGCAGGAAAGAAGTAAAAAAAACAGCCGCTGTGTAAGTGCACCCTAATTCCAAGCCTCTAGATTTAAAAAACCCAAGTGCTGTCAGCTGGAGTGTCTCAGCTGTCAGTTAAAAGCCCAGCAAGAGAAACAGTCTCCAGGCAGTCTACATTTATGGATTTAAATGGATTTTTTTCTTCCTAATAGAAGTAAAGGTTGCATTATTTATTATTTCTCAAACCACATACAAAAGAAGATTTTTTTCAGAATTAAAATGAAAATGACATTTAATCTATACAGGGAAAGATCAAAGGAACTGTGCTGGAAAACAAAGGATTGCTTCTTGCATTACAGACAACTGCCTTTGCCTTTCCTCTATTTGTGCAACTGCTGGTTCTTGACTAAAGGTCTCAAGAAAACTTCTCTAAAACCACAGTGCTTTCCATACAAAAGCCTGACTAAAACGACTGCTACAACACCTTCCCACCCCACATCTAATGTGTGCTGGTTTAAAATTTATAACTAGTCATTTTGCTGCTATGGGATTTTATTTCTCCCTAAACCAAAACTGTAAAGCCACATCAAATATTATTCAATGTGGGAAATCCTCCTAAAGGGAATAATACAATATTATCCTGCATATAAAGCTTCATAAAGCAAAATTATATTAGAACATATTAAATAGCAAATTATAGCTGAAGAGAAAGCAACCATCTAGAGATAAATTCATGGCACTGTAACAAAGAACAAAGACAACAAGTAGAGACAAAGCCTGTCAGCTCTGACTATGTGAAAGAAAAGCCAAGCGTTGAGAGTACCTGGTTAGACAATAAAAAAAGCTTGAGAACATCTCCCTAAAACAACCTGACATCTCAAACACAACAGACGAGAACAAAAGATTTTATTGGGGTAAGAGGGAGGGAAGGGTTAAAAATCAGTTTCAAGATAATTGGAATTTTTGTGGGATTCCTAATTTGATGATACAAATTATCTTATTTATAAATTAAGATAAGCAGAGATAAGAAATTGCAAGTCTTTTTTTGTCTGTTTTTTAAAGCTGGTATTGTCTCCATTTAGAGCTGGATAGTGGAACTTCATTCATATAAATCAGCTATAATAGGCAAGACTTTAACTGCTGTTTAACTTTCAAATACTTCCCATGTTCCCAAAAAGCTAGCAGAAAACATGGTTAAACATATGCAATTTAAGCTCTCATGTCAGCTTCAACACTGTATGACATTTATTTCAACACACACACACTTCATAAAATTCACCAGTTGGGCTTTTCAATGGTCTTAAGCAAGTCAGACACACAGCCTCTGATTCAGTGAAACAGGCACCTGTTTTTCATGGGGATCCCAGGCAAATCCGAGCTACAAGGTACAACCCCAACAGTTGCACACAATTGTCACTCACCATTTTTATGAATCCATTTATCAAAGCTGCTAACATTCTTTTCTCATCCTCAAGTGTTAGTGCACTATAAGAGAAAATTTACATGGCAAATTTTAGCATATTTCTTGCCTTACTCTCCATAAAGGTTCAAATGACACATAGTATTTTATATAATATTATGTTTATATAAAGTATTTTTCACACTAAGTCCACTAAGCTCATAATTTCAGTTATAAAGCAATAAAACTAATTTTAAGAGTATCACTAAGTCAACCATGCACCAAACTAAATTCCAAATTAAAGAAAATAAATGTAAAAATAACTAAGAGTGTCTTTAGATTTTACAAAAACTCAGTTTTGGAATGAGAAGGAAGCTAAGCTAATGTTCTTTTCTGCAGCGAGCAAATGGCTTCAGCCTTATGTTACAACGTGAGAATTTGAGCAGGAACTGACTATAAAAACCTAAAGAAACTGCTAAATCTATTCTTAGAAGAAAATTATCCTATTTAAGGGGAAAAGCTTTTAAAATACACTTTAAATAGTATATGTAACAGTTAAAGTGCTTATTTTAGAAACAACATCTGTTCATTGTTTCGCCTGGGTTTTTGTTTGGATTTTTGTTTTTAACTAACCCTGCCACATAATTAGAAAAATAATTAACATAACCTTGTTACAGTTCTAACTTTTTGATGTTTTAGTAAGAACTGAATTAAAATAATATGCAAAAATAGTTTCTTTTCAAGATTATCACAGACACCTATTCCACAGCAACAGTTCAAATATGATTTGAAACAAATTTGCATCACATGAAAATCCAATAAGCCAAACCTGTTTTGCTGAGAATGGATGAACAAAAAGTTAAATTGCAATTAACTAATACAACTTAATCCTTTTACTATTATCTACTTGGTTCCAGCTTTGACCTTTAGCATATCAGTTACCAATTTCCTAGCTCAGACACCAGATGGGAAGAGAACAATAGTTTTATTATACAAATTCAGTAAAGGAGGAAAGAAAATCTCAGCATGATTAGTTCATTAGTGCATTGCCAATCAAAAGAGCCAACTGATGGGCTCTGAAAGGCTCAGAAGACTTGTAATGAGATCTCTGGGTCAGTTATAGGTTTCCAGTTCAACTCTGAATCAGACCCCTACCAGCCTACAGGCTGTTATCGTTCAACAGCTGTTATGGGGGTCAGTGAGCCCTACACAATGGCTTGGGAGTTTCCTGAGCCAGGATGTAAAGTAGCTGCAGGAGTTACTTTAAGTTAGCCAGGATTTATGATGATTTGCCAATCAGAGAATATACAACATAAACAAGCTAGTGATGTACCAGCTTATCCCAGCTAATGAACCACTGGTTTAGGGGACTTCAAGGATCCCAGTAAATGTTTCAAAATGTTTTGGCAAAATGTCAGAGAGAGCACCAAACATGGGTTGCAATAAACAGCTTAATTTTTTTAACAAGCTCTTTCACCTTCAATATATTGTTCTATGTTAAGGTTGAAGTTGCTTTTAGTATAACATAGAGCCAAATAAGGTGCTTTAACCCAAAATAAAGCATTCTAGCTGGTGTAAATTGGAATTACATGCCAAATTGGACTTCTTTACAGGCATTAAATCTTACATTCATGGCATATCAAGGCTGAGAAAGTTACAAGTTCCTTTATAGCATCTGCCATGCTAAGAGGCTCTGGGCTCAGAGTGCAAAAAGAAACTGCCCTTACAATTCCACTCAACCTAAACCGCAAGAAAAAATGAGGTTTTTGCTCTTAAGATCTAAAATTTGCAGCACTGTGATTCTGGCTCTATTTTCAGACACAATTTTCTTGTGCTTTTTCAAATTACCTGCAAACCACAACTGTTTTTCACATTGCACAACTCCTATTCAAACAGTGAGGGTGACACAGGGCAGCCAGGGTCCCCAGCAACCTCAGCACTCAAAGTCAAGGAGAAAAGAGGAGTATTTAGGGGAAAGGCATCGAATGTTCAAAGAGCTTTTCCTTTGTTCTAACTTCCCCTACTCAAGTTCCTACAGATCTTGCAGGTGACCTTTTAAAGATTTCACACCCCTTTGTAATGGCTGAAAAAAGTGGCCCAAGAAAAGGTGCAACTGAGCACAAAAATTTGTACTTTAACAGCTAAATATTCACTTACATCTCAAAAATAGCTTATTATTCACTATAATTCAAAGATTACATTGGTTTCTGTCTCTGCTTAGAGTCCCTGATTCACTAGGAAACTACAAAACTGTTGCTACTTTCCTTTTAACATTCTGCTTCAGTATTCAAAATAAAGCAGTAACTAAAGAGCAAATGGTACGTGCTGCAACTTCACTGCACAGCTCTTCCCTCACCGCTAATTGGATTCATGTCTTAATCCACCATGAAACAAACAGCCTCAGAAATGTGAAACTGTACACCAAGCAGCCAAACTTTGCAATAAAGACAGTTATTAGTATGAGTAAAGTTAATCTTACTTCACAGAATCATGCATCGTCTTGCAGATATGCAGAAGAGCATTGAGTATAACTGGATCCTTTGTAGATTCCTGCTGATGCCTGTAAAAGTATTTCAGGAAAAGTGATGAATAATCCTGCTCTGTCTAAATGAAAACCAGTTACTAGAATAATACCAATTTAAGGCATAATTCAAATTATCACCATTGTATGACACTACAGAAGTTTTATATTCATTTTCCAACCAACAGAACTCCCTAGAATCATGTGGTTACAGATGTACAATTCCAACAAATGCCAGTCAGGAAATATTATCTTAATACATGAAGCTTTACTGCCAAGCTACAGAATCTGACTCCTTAAGGGACACAAAAAGCTAGACATGGGATACATTAAGGCAATCTAGGAACACCAAAACAAAGCAATCCTAGATCTATCCAGAAGTAAAGTTTCTCAGCTACCGATGGACGGGCACGCATGGTGTATGTCACATTTAGGTACAGAGGCACATGTGCAGCAGAGCACCACTAAGATGATTAAGGAGCTGCAGCATCTCTCATGAGCAAAGGCTGTTTAGCCAAGAGAAGAGCAGGCTTTGGGGGAATTAGCAGTGTATATAAATACCTGAAGGGAAGGTGAAAAAGTAAAAAGTGTTTCAAGGAACATTTTAATTATTTGAAACATGTTAATTATTTGAAAAGGGAAGGACTTGTAAGTTCAACTGTGGAAATACCCATTTTTCTGCATTGGATCTTGTAACAAGAGACTGTCACTCTTCCTCCATTATAGTAAAGTAACAGTTCTCTGCTGTCACATCAGCTGGAACATGAAATAAATTTCATAAACTGACTTAGGCAATGTAAATTTTAAAAAGCTCAGAGAACAAATATTGTGTTAATCCACAGCAAGTCAGCATCAACATTATTACTTCAATTTCAGCTTTGTGAACAGTTATACAGTCAATCAACAGATTAACCGAATTGACACATTTTCTTTTTTTTTCCCCCAAAATCTGGAACATCTTCACAAGATACGTGGCCTATATACCGACTTACCTTCCCTAGCAATCTGTCAACAAATTCCCCAGACCCTCCAGAGTGCACTTAATCTCAATATTCTCCACTTACTTAATAAAAGATTCCATAATGCACTTGCAAACCTCCACTCTCACACTTTCCTTCTGGAACATATCCAGAAATGGCAGGAATTTCTCCTGAAGGTACAAATACATAAACAAGTAAAATTAGGTATTTTACAAACAGTACACTGAAACAGTAAATATGGTGGGGTTTATATTCATAGCTGTTTCAGTTAAAATTATTTTACTGAAACAGCTTAACATATGACAAATTCAGACATCTATGGGAACTAAAGAAAGGATATTAAAAACAATGAAAACAGGCCATGTGCCAGCAACCATTTTCCATGTACCCAGGGTGATTTATGAAGGCCCAAGATATTCACATTTCCTTCCAAGATAAGGCTTTAGGTTGCTAAAATACGAAATACTTTGTTTCTGTATCATATCAAGAACATAGCAAGGGTAAGTTTTTCAGAATTATCTGAGCAATTTGTGAACAAGACTTGATTCCAAATCCACAGGGTCACTCCTGAATATTGCTCTTCAACTGGTTTCAGCACTTTGATGCTCTTTGTTCCTCTTTCTCTACCTCATACACAATCCCTGACCTCTCCAAGTTTTGCTTGGTTTCAATGCCAAATTTAAGCCCTATAACAGAGCGTGTTAAGTACAGACTGTAACATAAAACCAGCTATCAGCAATTACACAAACACACAAACAAATAAATGGTATTTTATCTTCCGCTGATTGTCACTTATGCCATAGTAACAAACATACAGAATCTAACAGCCTAAGGAAAAACAAATGGGAGAAAATTTGAATTAGAATAATGAATATATAAGTAGTAAGCAGCAGTTACCAAGTCAGGTAAATTCTCTTACAGAAACAGTGCTAAATGGTTCTTAAAACTTTATTAAACAGAGTATCACTTACCACTGAGAAAAGCAAAGAGAAGTCATAGATATAGGTAATAACTTTCTGAATAATTGACTGCAGCTAAAGAGAAAAAAAATAAAAGTGTAAAATAGAGGGAAATTATTGTAATACAAGTTGCATCAAGACTATCCACACCAGGGATTATTCTTCTCTATTTATTCATAGAAAACCAGGTTGGAAGACACTTCAAGCATTCATCAATGTCATTTCTTTCCCCAAAGCAGGATCAACTACAGCTATGCTGTCCCTAGCAGATGTTTTTCCAACATGCTCTTCTGAACTCATATAATGAGAGGGTGATCAGCCTGCTCAGGCTTTATTTGTCGTTTATAGTTAGGCAGATTTTTCCGATTTATAGTCTGCATATCCCAGCTCTCTTGACTAAAAGAAAAAAAACACAAAATAAACAAACAAAAACCAAAACAATTTTCTAAATCTTCTTTTGTAGGCACTTTATCTACCCTCCAAGTAACCACAAAAACCTTCTTCTAGAACCTCTTCAACTAATTCACATCTCACCTGGCATGCAGAACTGGACACGGTAATTCCCTGAAGCCTTAACAATGCCAAGCAGAGATTATTTTAAGGTTTACTTCTGTATAAACAGCCTGCCATGACTGCTCATTTTCTTCAGCAGAACACCACTGTTGGTATAGGAGTTAACTACTGCTACTTCTAAATACATATGTCATTCTGGTTTACTATTTTTCTGAAAGACTGATGTGCAGACAAAAGTGAAGGAACAAATCACAGCATTACACTGCTCCAAAAGGCTTCCCAAATTATAGCCAGGGTTTAAAAAGAATTATTTTGTGGTAACAGGCATCAGTAACGTTTAAGATTTAAATTCATCTAAGAAAATGCACATCAGATTTTTACAGATCAGGCAAAACAAATTCTTTACCTGGGGGTAAGCATCTTCAAAGGCTCGATCAGGAGTCATGTGTTTGATAACATCAGCCAAAACTGTATTGACCTCCCGTTTCTGTGTAGTGAAAAATGAGGTTACAAAATACAGTAATGAAATCGGCACATGAATCAAGTCACTGAAAACTAGTCGGAGTTCCATTTGCCTAAGCATCAGCTTTCTACAGAGCTCTAGTTAAGTCAGGAACTTCAGCCATAGCTGTAGTAAATCATTACTTAAACTGGTTCACCTGCCATTAAAATAAAAGGCTAAGAAACAGGCAGTGCTGGGCAGCGGTGAAGACTCCTTCAAAGCTGCATCTTTTGTCCCTATTCATCTTTCATGAAAGGAAATACATTATTTCCTCCACTACTGAAGTCCTATACACTTATATTGGATACTCATAGCTTTTCCATTTTTAACACCAAACTGCTAATACAGCTACCTAGTCTATATCAGAAAACCTTCAAATGAAACAAAGTAAGCTGCACATACCGTAAAATGCCTGCATGTGTACTCCACCCACACTTCAGCACAGTTGATATAATCCTAGAAATACACATGGCTTACAATTACCAATATTTATGAAAGGTTATGATAAGTATTAGACTTAATTATATTTAATTATTTTAATTATTTTTAATTATTTTAATTATTAATTACACTTAAAAGAATAAACTTCTGAGGTATGATTCATGCAGACCTAAAGATCTAACACTAAACGACAGACCTCAAAAGTTGCTTATGACTTATATTATATAGAATTAAGTTGTTCTAACAGAACTCAGAAAAGCAGGGATCATATACAGATATTACCAGGCATCACATTTTTTGACAACTATCTGTACCTAGAACAGGTAAACAATGTCATGCTAAGCATATGCTTACTAAACAATTTTGCCTTAAACACAGAATGAGTAGTGAAACAGAACAGACAGTAACTCACCTGTGGGTTCTTCAGCTTTGTTATAACCTTCCAGGCTTCATTTAATATTTGAAGGCGATCATTTTCAGGAGGATCAGCCAATGCCAAGTTTAATCCCAAGGAGCGAAAGAGGAGGTGCTGAAAAGTTAATGAAAAATTTTAAATGACCAGCAGAAGATGCATGTCTGTCCAACACTGCTCTGGCACATACACTGGCAAGAAGAGTTTTTGATTAAACCACCTTCAATTTAAATGCTGTGCAAGTTAGGCAGGCAACTAACTGTATAAAGAACTCTGTCAGACAATGAACAGGAACTGTTACAAATTGCATACAAAAACTTACCTTTGGGAATCCAGATTCATCACACTCTTTAATCATGCCAATGAAGTCCATAGATCTTGCAGCAATAAACTCCGCTCTGAACGCTGACATTATTGAATTCAACAGCAAAGCACTACAATGAACATAAAACAAATCAATTAAGCTCAACATCGATGAAACTTTGGTTGTACCTTCACTTACATTAATCCAAACTTCTTAAACTAAAAACTGTGCAGAATCAATTCGAAATTTTAAAGAAGGCGATAAGGAAGAAAAAACCCTCAGCAAAACAAGAAAACATTAAGCCATCAGATAAGGAAAAGACAGCCCAGTTTGTAGAATACCTGTTCCACCCAGGTTTTGTTCTACCAGGCCATTGTTCTACCAGAAATTTACTAGAAAGATCAAGTAAACCAGGAGTAGCCAACAAATTCGGAATCTTACCCTCTCTTTTTAACTACAGTTCAGAAGTATATTTTGGAAGGGCAAATCTTTATTGAAGTTTTTCTCATTGAATTAAAATATATATATATATATACACATTAAAAAAGTGAAATTTCTAGCAGCTAAATTGTTAGGATTTAAATAAATCCAAACAGTCATTATCATATGATAACTGGCAGTGACATATTCAGACATTTATGATTAATCATTCCGACCCATATCTGTATTACTATCAAGCCAAAGTTACCGATGGAACATAGAACTCATCATGTTACTGTAAAACCCAGTTCATTGATTGTATCATGCAAACATAAGAAACAAAATCTACTACCATTCAAAAGGCAGTTGCTTTGGGCAAACTCAGCCATGAGTTAGCACAGAAGCTGCTTCATAAAACACTGCGTCCTTCACTAGGCTGAAACAGACAGTTTGAATACAGGGCAGTTTACCTTGAGGGAAATCTATGGAGTGCTTAGAATAGCCCAGCATCCTCTGTGCTTTCTGACTGAGCTTTAGTGGTCTCATTGCAATCTGACTGGGATTTGAATTCCAGTTCAGTAAGTATATGCTTCACCATACAGAGAAGCAGGCTCTCACTTTTCACTTAGATGGTGGTGATGTAGTTCACGGAACACACTGAGATTATTTAAAGATTTATATACTGATGCCTCTTGCTTTGTAATATTTTGACAGTCATGAGAAGACAGAAAACCACAGAACTCCACTTTAAAGGAAAACTGTCATGCTTTATAGATCATCTACAATGGATTAGTCAACCTCCCAATAATAATAATAGTAACAACAAAAAAAGATATGTCCCAAAAACATTTCAAAAAACCTCAACTCATCATACTCAGCATTTTGTCCTTCCTTCAAAGGGCAAAAAGGCACAAATTAAAGGCCCCTTGCCCATCTTTATGAGAACTGCTAAAAGGTGATTTATAAGTAAGCTCCACAAAGCAAACCAATACCTATACAAAATAATTAATACAGCAGAGTACACAGATTACTACCCATATTATATACTCTAACAGCATCTTCACATTGCATTTTTAAAATCATGCTTTCCCCACACCCCTTAGCTCAGTCACAGAATGCTAATGCTAGCATTCCTCATCTGAATGATTAACATATTTCAGTTCCTCAGCTACTGCAGGACTGGACTGTGCAAAGCACATCAGGAAAAAAACAGATAACCGAAAACTGTCACAGTACTCAGCCTACCTACCCAACAAAATGAACTGAGATTAGCTTGCCAGCAGGCCAAATTCCATACACACAGCTCAAAGTACATCCAAAACTTTCAGACCGTCTTCCTGAACTAGTCACCAGAGGCGATTATTCTGCACACAGACTTCTAGGAGACATTTGGGATACCAATTTTAATACTGAAAAAAAGCAGCCATCTAAATATTACCATCTTCCAAAGGTGTAAGTTGCTTTACAACTTCCCTTGCAAAATTCATGTACGGACTGACTGTAGCCAGTGCAGGCTATGGGGAAAGGAAGGGGAGGAAAACAGAAAAATGAAGCACAACCAGGAATCAAACATGGCTGATGGGGAACATATTATGTCTCCTAAACTTTGGCTGAGGAACCAGAATGCAGCAATGAAGTTAAATTAATTAACTTTTGCTCTACAAGTGATCGACCATATTCTAGAATTCATCTCTGGAAAACAGATGTTCATAATCATGATTTAGTAAGATACTGGGAGAACAAAAGCTATACTATGCATCCAAAATGTGTTTTCAAAAGGGAGAGAGAGAATTTTATTACAGGGACTCACAGGTACTCATTACAGACTCAAGTCTTTTACACTGTACAATACTTACTTGTTCCCCAAATTTTTGCATCTCTCCATCATCTCAGTAAGCAGAACCTGAAAGAATTACTTACTAAAATTAGGGAGTAGAGATGGCAAATAAATTCAGCTTTAATTGCTGTAGTAAAATCTACTAAAAGCTGTTTTAATTACCTACCCAATACATTCCAATAATCCTGTCTTACCCTGCATTTATAATACAGGATATAATGTATTATGAATTATCCTCCATTTATAATACAAGAAAACAATGGTGTAGTACAACATAAAACACACCTACTGGAATAAGTACAGTGGCATTTTAATCAAGCCCACCATTTTATGGAAGTGAAATTTGCAATCCTTCAGCCATGCCATTTCTCAAAGTAATTACTATTTGCCAGCCAGGTTAATTACTCTGGCAAGAGAGGTGAAGATTATCAACTCGCTGCCACACAATGCAAAACAGACTGCCTGTTAACTATGTTAAGCAATTACAAAGCTACAGTTTGCTCAAATCATTTTTATATCTATATGACAGAAGAAACTAATGAATTTGGGAAATAAAGATTAAACTAGCTAAAGGACAGCAAGAAAAAAACAGACCATTTCAAATTCATAGGCAGTATTCCTAACTTGAGCTTTGTGGACATGAACGTTTGTCCTGTATAGGAAAGATAAATAGACAGTTCTCACACCCATGTAAATACTGACTGAAGGTGTTTTTTAATATGCAAAATGAACTCTTAACCCAAACACTTTCTTCAGTATCAAGTATTACCATGCTTCCTTACCTCAGGAGCACGATATGCAATGCACTGTAAAATCCAGTCTATAGCAGGAGAATATAGAGTCAAATACAAAGGGATCTCCACACATTGCACTACCAGCTGATTCTGAACTGTGTCCCCATGAATCTGTTGAAACAAAGACAAAAACATGCTGCTGCGAAAAGGTATTTAAATAGCAGACAAAAAGGACAAAGTTTGTGTATGAATCAAAATGACAACAGACAAGATCACAGAGATTTTCTGAAGCATTTCTCGCTTGCTGGGGAAAAAATATCAAGCTCATAAGAATTACTATTAAAGTATGTAAACATGCTGAGCAGAGCAGTTTCAATTTATCTGAATGTATGTAAAGTTTCCCATACTGCATCTGGGTACAGAAGCATCCCCAAATCTAGATTTAAGAACTTTAAAGATTTTTTAAAAGTATGTGGTAGTTTGGTTCAGGAGTGTATTTATGTGATTTTGCAAATAAAAAAAACCAACACCTTATTTGCTTACTTGCTTAAATGTTAGAAGAAAGTCAAAGAAATTTTCATTAAGGCTTTCTTTGAGTTGTGGTGCCACTTCCATTCCAACCTGTATTAAAAGAAAGATTTTATCTGCACCTATCAGCTATGATTCTCCTTCAGCTGTAAGATAAAATACATTTTCCAGAGGAGTATACCTAGTCACACACATCAAATCAATAATGAATCATGGTTTTGACGGATTATTCCCTTGCTTACTATGCTAGTCATGTCCAGTAACAACTACCCTGAAGTAGTTACAGCTGTGTTTAAACATGGTTCTCCTAACATCAGCTCCAAGTGCCTATAAACAGTGAGGAAATCAATGTCTACCCCAGTGCCCGCACTGCAACAGCCTATATCCATTGTATGCAGAAGGCCTTATGATGAAGAACATCTAAAAAGTCAAAGTTCAGAAGTTGCTTAAAATCATGTGTATTTATTCCATGGACAGAATGAAGCAAAGATCCCAAAGGAAAATACACTGACAGATATAATATAAGCTGATGCACAAACACAAGGCCTATGTAGTAAAACTGATATTGCAAAGGAAACTAATCCTTACATGACTGTTTTCAGTAACACAGATGAAAAATACCAAAAAATTAAAATATATTAAACATATTACTAAAGATGCAATAATGAATGAGAAGCTGCTGACAGATTAGTAATAGATCAGGCTTAATAAACAAACAAATCCATCTCAACAGCTTAAGGTCCCGCTCTTCAAACAAACCCAGGGGTCTGCGTTTCTGGTATCCCTGAGAATATGCAGTTCTAGCTGACTTCAGCACAGTTCTTTACATATCATTTCATATAAAACCATGTGGCTCCACTGTTGTGTAAATATCTGGCTCTCTGGTTTCATACAAGAGTTTATTTGCACAATTCATTACACTGTGGTTTTAGACATCATTTATATTGATACTACAAGTTTCCTATTCTAGAATTCATATTTTTAAAAATACCTGTTTTCCTTATCTTCATTATGGAAGTATTAATACAGTGTCAGCAGCTGGAAGACAGAAGATTAAATGCCTCCCAGTCCACTAAGATTTCTCATTTTAAAGAAAAGTCAGGATTTTAGTAGCTACTATTTTATTCCAAAAAACATCATCTGATTTATTTTATATGATCATCTTTGTGGACAAACAGATCACGCCAAGCACTCCCTAAATTGCAATTACTAATTACTATCACTAGATTATTAGGCCTAACTGCTCTATCATTACGCATCTCTTTAAGGTGGACTGTGCATAAAAATGTTTCCTATGAAACCTTCAGAAGCCTTGCACTATGTAGCAGGAATGATTAAGCTACAACAAAAATGCATTATTGTATTTCAAGATTCAAACAGACTAAGCAGCTCATCTGTAAGAGTAAACGAGAGGTTAGCCATTACTTGCAGACAAAGGAATTCACATGGACACCCCTGAATAGTGTACCAAGTATTGCTATCGCTACCATTTCCCAGTCATAGTTGAGTTCTTTGCCACTACTTCAAAAATGTGTTTCACAATTATTTTTCCAGTATTGATGACTTCTTGAATCATTTTAGGGTCTCTTCTTGAGTAATTTTATCTTGGCTGAGCTGTAAAGGTAACTGCAGGAGTAGCTGAGGATAAGAAGACAGCCACACGGTGCAGACACTTTCTGAACATTTCACCAAGTGGCTCCTCTGCCAAGGAGCTTGCCTTGCCACACACACTTAAGCAGCAGAAGGAAAATGAACATAGAGAAAGTGCTTAACTGTGAAGAAGAGCACCCTGCAATCAGACAACAGCATGTAGCCTCAAAGTCCAAACTCTCTTTCCACTTAGGTCCCTTATATTTTGCCCTACCTGAAGATGAAAAACTAGCATAAGCAGCACATAAAATTATTTTTACTTATTATGAACATTTAAAAGAAAGATTCCCCATTATTAAAACAAGAGAAACTTTTTTTTTTTGTTAGAAGGAGGAGACAGGCTGCTGGCTGCTTCAGACACAAACTACTTAAAAGAAATTCCCCTTTAGCAGCAGAGCTAGCTGCAGTCAATCTTTGTGACAAATCTAAAGTGTCAAATGATAGCCTACCCTGCAAAGGTATGCTCTTGCATAGACTGCAACCAGTGGATCTCCAATTCCTCTAATCATAGACGTTAACCGTGGAAGACATTCCGAAATCCCCCTGTGAAGATTTTTCAGAAACAAAAATGAGATTCAACAATCGATAACAGAATGTCATCACTGAGAGAGAACGTCAGTAGCTGCCTTGTAGACTGACAACTGAGTCTGAGTCACAGAAACACCTACCAAAGCAGCAGCACATTAGCACAAACATTTATTTCAGAAGCAAAATTTTCTGCGTATAGTAACACGCACATCCTATATCCAAGTAGCAGTATTTGCCACTAGGAGTAGTGCAGATAGCCAGGTTGGATGCTTGGCTTCTAAAGACAAGCACAACTGAAAAACTTCCTCTATTTCAGAGAAACAGCAAAGCTATAGAAGGGGTGTAATTCAATGAGAAGAAAGCAGCCACTTAAAGCAGAACTGGCAGAACTCCTTGTATGTCTCATTTTCCCACAGGTCCTTTTTGACAGAGCTGTACCAGTGCCTGCAGATGAGGCCCATCAATTCCAGTAAAAGAATAGCTTTTTAGGGATAATAGAGTTGTCACTATAGGAGTAATTTGGCTTACAACACTCATTTCAAAATGAAACTGAAAAAGGAGGATTACAGGTGAAGGAACATTCTCAGCTCAGCAACTGACACTGTTTGCCAACAGAGGAAGCTTATACCAAGATTTTCAACAGATAGCAGTTCATTGCTCCTAAATTGTTTCTCCAACTCTGCCTTTAGCAATATGACATACCAGTATTCTCCTTTCATTTTTTTATGCCATCTTTTTTCCACACTCCTCATTTCAGCATTCTTGCTTCCCCCCCACCACCATCTGAAGCCACTGGTTTTTAATCTGCAAACTCCTGATGTCACAATTATACCTATATTCCAAAAGTGCAAATCACTATTGCATTTGAAATTGTATCACAGTTCACCTTGAATTTTTCCATAGCACTCCCACTTAGCACTCCAAAGCCCCTCAGGACTGCTTCTTAGACCTATTGAGAACCTAATTCACCATTAATCACAGAATTTGCATGCTTAACTCCTGAGATTAATTTATAAACCTGCCCATTCTCTTCCTTCCCATACTTAACATTTACTCTTACATTTTTGACAGGAACTTATTGCACTTCAGTATTGCTGCTTCCACGTAACTAAAATGAAGCCAAGTTAAGGAACAAAACCAAGACACATGCCATTTAAAAACAAAAACAAACTTACATACCAAATACATACTGAATCAACTATTTCACAGCGTTCTGTAATTAATTTCACTACACTTTGTTGATTTTTATGATTTATCTAGATTTTTGCAAAAGTTTTCACACATCATCTCTTCTATGAGTGCCACACTGCCAATAATTCAGCATTCAGCTGACTATGAAACACGACTCAAATTTAAATTCAAAACATACAGCCTGAAACAAACAAAACAAAGACAGTATAAACATCAGATGCTGTGGATTTCATTGAAACAGACATGTTCATTTCAGGGAAAGTCTATGAAAAACCTCCAAACAGACTCCAAGAGTCTGATTTGACAAGGATACAATCTGGGAATGAGCTCTCTGATGGAAGCAATCTTGAAAAACCAGTTTAAGCAAGTTTCTTTGGCCGTGTCGTTCACACTCTCTGGAGAAAAATTATCTGGGGGGGGGAAAAACAAGGGCCCAGAACTAGTTACAGTCTTTCTGGAAACAAGCTACTTCACAGCCGAGGTTGGTTTAAAACTGTATTCTCTTTCCCGTCACCAAGAAATCATAATAAACTAGGCAACATGTTTGCTGAGTATACAGACAGCAAGAATAAGTAAGTAGAGCTTCTAGCTTGCATTAACATGTCAGAAGCTGAAGTTGAGCACTTGAAGCTAATCTCACATTTGCTACTTAGGAATCTAACCTCTGCCTCCCCCAAAAGGAGAAATTGCAAGAAAAATACAGGGAATCTGTGACAAATACAGCTATATAAATCTATACCAAATGCATACATATAAAAGAGATTTAAGCACTCAAATTCTTTACTTTAAAAGGCTAATATATTTTTAAATAATGTTATTTAAAAGTATATTGCAAGAATTAGGAAATATTAAACACTGACAGAACACTTATTTTTGTACCCTAAACATGTAACACTGCAGCACAGTTCTCTCCTCACGAGCTCTGGGAGTATTTGTGTCAGCTGCCAGCAGGAAAAAGCTGCCACCCTGGGGTGGAACAGATGGGTTGGGGGGCAGTGCTCTGGTCAGGGGGGCACGCAGTTGCACAGCAACTGACTCCTCTTTCTCTACACTGCCTGAAGCGGAAGGCAAAAATAGGCTTCGTGGGATCAACAAAGGTTTGAGGCAAAATAGTTGGGGAGGATGGGTTCATTTTCTCTCAGTTTTAAAGCTACACAAGCAGCTTCTGCTGTGAATGTCTGTTTATAAACTCTTTGGGAAACAGTTCTAAAATATCAGTGCTCTCCCAACCCTGCCCCAGAAAGTGAGAAGCTCCAGCTCCACACAACAGTGTCTAACTTCCAAGACTAGCGAAGCCACACACTAGATGCTGACTGAGTAGAGGAAGATGATCTTTCTCATCTAGAGCCACAAGAGTTCTTGTCCAACTTTGTTTCACATGGTTCCCAAGGGATGAGCACGGAGGTTGGGCCTGAAATCCCTGGGGGTTCACAGTGCATGCAGAGCCAGCACAGATTTTCCTTCTCCCTCCCACTTTTATAGCTGCTTGGGAAGTTCCCACCAACAATGCCTCTGGCAGCTCTGTAGCTCAGTTCTCCAGAATGGAGGTAGCTGTGCCCAGTAATCACGACGTGCTATGGGAACTGTCTGCCTTCATTAACATCTACCAGAACAGTTTGTCATATCTGCAACAACCAAATTTATCAGAAATATTTTCTGTATGCTTATTTCAAATTTATGTATTTGTTGATTTCATGCTTCTGGCTCAAATCCTACACATTTAACTACAACCTAATGGTACTGTTGAATTGCCAGCAACAGAGTAAGAATGTTTCAAGGACACGCATTTAATATACTCCAAATTGCAAGAAAATGCTTGTGTTTCTATGGAATATATCTTTGGATATAGGACCTTCCAAAAGAGCTTCCGCCATACACATTTGTACTGTAAATGTCAAATTAGACTTTTACATTGTGTTGGAACTTCAAGTGGAAAAATAGAAATGGCCCAAATTAGAAAGATTATTTTATCCTAATAAAGTCATCACCAGCTCAATGACGGCCTCTGCAGCTTCTTCCAAAAACCTGCCCTAATTAAAGCAAAATTATCAAGTTTCCAATGTAGCAGCAAAAACATCTGTTTACCAAATTCTGAGATTCTCAGCTTTGTTAGATTTGTACCACTAACTTTAAGATACTAAAACACGGTACTTCAGAAAGGGGCATATGCTAACAAAAAAAGAAAAAGGTCTTCCTTCATCTAATTTGGCCATTCATGTTCCATTCTCCCTCTACTTATATATCACTCTTTGCAATTCTGAGTCTCAGGAAGACCCACGTCATGTTTAGCAACATCAAAGCAACAAGCATATTTTATTATACCTTAGGTATACTCTTCACAGTTACAATGTAAGCTTGCATGAACAAGCTTATGAATGGTGAATGTTGGAAGCCATAAGTAATGGATTTTACTCTGCTAAAAACTAAAAATTACAAGATTAAAATTAGAACTTTTCCCACAGGAGATAACAGTAGATGGGTCCTGCTTAACCTTCCTCAGGTTAGTTCAGACATGATTTTTTCCAGGAGCACAGCAGAAGCAAACACCAAGTTACCTGGCAAAGGGACACGGCTGTCCACACACATTGACAGGATCCTTTCATACACCAGTTTCCCTGGTTTTAAAAAGAAACAAAAAATTATTCAGAACAAACAAACAAACAGTGAAACACAAAATGTCGATATAAAGGTTCCTTCTCCAACATACACTGGAATCAGCTGCAACAAAGCTCTCCAGAACACTAACATTGTGCTGCCCTCTAGTGAGGCTGTAGTGTCAAGTCTGAATTTAGCACTTCGCACACTATAAAAAGGAAGATGAAATGACTTGGCTCTCTTAAGAGCAGAGCTAGCACAGGTCATATTTCTCTCCAGCCAGGAAAGGACAACCGGTGTCCTGCCTTTGCTGAGCTTGGGTATTATGTTATCTTCAGCAACTTTTGGTAAGTAGGAAAGAGCATAAAGAGGAAGCAAAGCCTGAAAAAAACATCTGTTGTATCATATCCTGCTAAAAATCAAAATACCCTTCTACTTGGAATGCCATTGTAAATCTTTTCCATAACATGGCAAAAACCAAGACAATCACATGAAATGGATGACAATTTCACTTAAAGGATCATTTAAAAGTTATTCGAATAGATCAAAAAATCAGTAACTACTTTCTGATCACTTCATAGTCCCTGTTCAGCTAAAGAAAACTTCCCAGCTTCTACTCCTCAAATATAAACAGAATGAAATACTAAATCAAGAGGCTGCCAAAACCAAAATATTTTCATAATAACGACACTGTTTTAAATTTCAAAATGCAGAGATCATTTTTCTTCCAGATATTCACTAATACATAAAGCACAGAACTAGAAAATGAAGTATTTTTATTCTAAAGACTTCATTCATAGTTTTTGAACAGTTACATACCAGGTTTATACCACTAATGCCCAAATGTTTATGTTGGAAATATTCCATCTTAAGCCAGAGTAATTTCAGCAATTTTCAGATAACTTTGGTGTTTTGTAACATTACAAGAAATAATTTCACTTTTTTAACAATTGCGTAGTAAGTCTGGCACAAGAGACACTTACCAAAAGTATCAAGGATATCTGTAATTAAAACAAATTTACTTGGATAGAACTGGATTACTGTCGTGTCTGAAAGAAGCTTCGAACACTAGAAGGAGGGAAAAAAAAAACCAAACATAGCAGAAACATTTTTAGAGGACAATGCAAGTTTGTGCTTTTACTCCAGACAGGCTAAAACAGATTAATATCTACAAATGGAAAGAACCAACACGAACTATCCAGCAAAAAGCATAAGAACCCCTAACATATACTAACAAATACTCTTGGTATTTTTCAGGTTATTCTTCATTTCCAGCAGAGCAAGACACAGATCTGGTTTTCCTTTATGTAAGGTAATCCACAATGCAAAATTTCAGCTGACCATGCAGATCTGTGCCTTTGTTCAGATAAGACAAATTTTCTCCCAGAAGAAGCATTAAAAGGCACTTCTTTCTTAAAATAACTTTTTAAGGGTTTGGGTTGGTTTTTTTTTTTCAGTTACTCAGCATCTCTCTAAGCATCCCCATCAAACACAAAATTTTGTACAGGATAAATTAAGAAACAATTTTAAAAATTTAGCTAATGAGCTTTTCAACACATGTTTGTGTTCAAACATCCTGGAAACAAGCCAGCTGATCCAGTCAGCTCCAGGGAGGAATCTGTGATCAATCACCATCCACAGGCACCCAACATCATTGTGACATTTGGATTATAATGGTAGCTGGTACAAAGTCATGTATGAAAACATATCAACCCATTTAGTTCTAGTGTTGCTGAATGTTAAGTCCAGGTAGGAACGTGTCCATCTATGATATAAATTCAAAATACACACTGAGGAATTTTGAAGATTTTTAATGAAATGGTACTTTGTTTTCCGAGATGATGCACAAACTGCAGACTGAACTGGAATCAAAACTTTGGCAGAAGTTTATTCACAAAAAAATCAACTTCCACCTGAGCAAAACAGGCAAATGACTGACTGAGGAGAGAAACCCACCTCCTCCCCATTTGAGCTAAATGCAGCCTTTGACCACGAGTCTTCTCTGATCTTGATTTAAGACTGATAAGTGCAGTATTCTCTATGATCTCTGTCCTTTCTCTCTCCTTCATCAGAAAACAGCTCTTTGATCTCAGTGGAATAAAGATCCAAGTTTTCATTGCATTCCAAAAATCCAGGAAGTAATCCGATACCCCACAAGACTGCTTGGTTTTAACAAGAACATAATGACATTTGAACATGCTTAAACGAGGGGCACACTTAGACTTTTTGCTTTATTCATCATGGAGGAACTTAAAAGTGACTGCACCAGAAAAACAGGCACAAGAATTCACATCTTACAATGAAAGCAGAATATTCCCTACCGCATGGCAAATCTGTCATCTTCAAAGAAAGGTAATTCAGTAGCTGTTTAGAACCTACATGTACCACGAACAGTTAAGTACCACTTTTCTTAGAGCACACATAATCAACTTATTTCAGCTTACTCTAAGTAGCTTATTCCTTCTTGACAAATAAAGTATATTGTAAAAAGGCACTTGAGGAATCTTAGAATCGTTTGGGTTGGAAAAAAGCCTTTAAGATCACCTAGTCCAACTGTTAACCCAGTGCTGCTAAGTTCACCACTAAACCATGTCTCTAAGTGCCACAGCTATACCTCAGGGATAGTGACCCCACCACCTCACTGGGCAGCCTGTTCTAATACTTGACAACCCTTTCAGTGAAGAAATTTTTTCTAATACCCAGTCTAAACCCCTCCTTGTCCAGTTTGAGGGCATTTCCTCTTGTCCTATCGCTTGTTACCTGGGAGACCAAACTCCACCTCACTATAACCTCCTTTCAGGTAGTTGCAGAGAGCAATCAGGTCTCCCCTGATGTTACTTTTCTCCAGGCTAAATAACCTCAGTTCCCTTAGCTGCTTCTCCTAAGACTTGGTCTCCAGACCCTTGAACAGCTTTGGTGCCCTCCAGCACCTCAAGGCTGGTCTTATATTGAGGGGCCCAAAACTGAGCACAGTATTCGAGGTGCAGCCTCATACAACTGGCCTCGGCCCAACAATCCAGCCTGTCCGGATCCCTCTGTAAAGGCCTCCTACCCTCAAGCAGATCAACACTCCCACCCAACTTGGTGTCATCTGCAAAATTCCTGAGCGTGCACTCTATCCCCTCAGCCAGATCACTTATCAGTGACCGGTCACCAACTGTATTTAACTCCATTAACACCACTCTTTTGTGGCTGGCCAGACAGGCTTTTGTCCAGCACAGTACACCTGTCCAAGCCATGAGCAGCCAATTTCTCCAGAAAAATGCAGTGAGAAGCAGTGTCAAAGGCTTTAACTCAAGTCTATGTAGACAACATCCACAGCCTTTTCCTCATTCACTAAGGTCATCTTGCCCTAGAAGGATATAAGGTTATGTCAAGCAGAACCTGCCTTTCATAAACCCATACAGTACACCTGGTTGTCCTGTACATGCCACGTGATGGCACTCAAGATGATCTGCTCCATGACCTTCCAGGCACCAAGGTCAGGCTGACAGGCTTTTAGTTCCCTGGATCTTCCTTCCAGCCCTACTTGCAGCTGGGCATTATGTCTGCTAACTTTCAGTCAACTGGGACCTTTCCTGATTAGCCAGGACTGCTGATGAATGATTGACAGTGGCTCAGTGAGCACTTCTGCCATCTCCCACTGTCCCCCTGAGTGGATCCCAGCCGGCCCCATAGACATGCATGTCTGAGTAGCGTAGCAGGTTCCTGATCATTTCCCCTTGGATGACGGGTGCTTCATTCTGCTCCCACCCCCATCTTCTGATACCCAGAGAATAACTGGCGCAAAGAAGGCTTTAAGTACCTCAGCCTCCTCCTAATCCTTTGTCACTATGTTTCCCTGCATCCAATAAAGAATGGAGATTCTCCTTAGCCCTCCTTTTGTTGCTGATGTATTTATAGAACCATTTTTTACTGTCTTTAAAGGCAACAGCCAGATTAAGTTCTAGTTGGGCTTTGCCCATTTTAATTTTCTCCCTGCGTAACCTCAGGACATCCTTGTAGTCCTCCTGATTTGCCTGCCCCTTCTTCCAAAGGTCACAAACTCTCTTTTTTCCCCCTGAAGTTCCAGCTAAAGCTCTGTATTTCCCCAGCAACTATGCACACCCTGCCTTAATAACCAGAACTTTTTCTGCACTTAAAGCGCTGTAAAACTCCTGCATCAAAATGACAGCTTCATCCCCAATGTCCAAATGAAAGATCAGTGTAATTTCATCATTAGTTCTTAAATCAAGATAATTCTGGCATTCAAATCAAAATTGCTTTTTCCAGCCTAGCATACATTTCAGAAAATAACAAAGGCCAAATTTACCCCTTCTGTTATACACTAACCAGTAGGTGATGGTAATCATAGACTATGCATATAATCACAGCCTGATGTCAAGAAAACTGCTTAGTTCTTTTAGAGGATATAACTCTTAATATTACATTATTTACTAGGCAGAACCACAACAAGAAAAGCTCAGTCATGTTTCCACCCTATCCTGCTTTCTAAGTCTAGAACTGTTATCCTTTATAACTTTTTATTTGTCAAACCAGTCAAACCATGATGACGATACATTTATTAACGCACTGTAAATACAGTACATCCAAAGACTTTTCACATTCTCTTTCACTAAAATATTCACACTTCAAAATGTTATATATAGATTTTTTAGTATTACAGTATCAGTGTTTTTCATAGTATTACAACACAACATTAGTCACCCTGGGTCATATATAATTACGTGATCCCACTTACTTTATGGTTCATATCCTTTATTATCTTTACCACAATTTAAGCTGAAATTACTGTAAACAGTTTTCAAACGAGTATCCAGAATGACAAAAGAAAAAAAAAATCATTACTTTATATAACCCCACTTGATGCCTATGAGCATTTTATCATTTTACAGCTTTTAAGGATCTCATTATCTCATCTGTCCTCTGATGCACTCTGCCTCTGGCTTTTTTTAAAGGCCAAGCCAAACAAAAAGAGCATTTAATTGTCCTATTTCCCCCTGCCCCCCTCAGAGCCCATCACCCCAAGTGAGCCAGAAGATGACTGTGGACAAGTTTAAAAAAGAAAAAGACAACCATACACACACTTTAAATATCTTGAGTTGTTTTCTGTAGCTTGCTAGGATCCTAAATCAGATTATTTGATTGTCTTAGTAATTCTGGATGGGGAACACTGACATTCAAAAAGTCATCCTGTTACGACTTGGGGTAGGGAGCAAGGGGCTAGAAGGGGAAAAGGAGAGAAATTACATGCCCTCAAAAAAGTTGGTATCACTACATGTTATTTATACTAATTATCCCTCACCAGGTAAATTTTCCACATCTGTCATTTGGCCACTCTGAGAATTCCATTCCCTAGTCAAAATTAATATATAACAACAAAGTTGAAAATCCAACTGTTGTCAGGAGTCATAAAACTCAAAGAAATTGGTTTCAGTGAAGAACAGAAGCAAGCAATAGAAAAGTATCAGAAAAACCTTTCCCCAAGAAAGCAATGGGACAAAGTCACACCACCACCAAACTCACCAGTTCTGTATAGAATGAAAATGCAAAAATTACCTGGATGACTATTTTTAGAGCTTTTACTTTCTGATCAGAGGACCAAGCATCCTTTAAAGACTGATTCAGTTCTTCAATTCGGTTCATGTAATCCTGCTGAGTCAAATTCAACAGCTCTTTCTGTGACCCCTGGCAATTGAAAATAAACCTAATCAGCAAGAGAGAGAGACCATCTTCATTTCATGCTCAGAATCAAAGCACTCCTATGACCTGTCTTCTCAAAGACCTTATAGACCTTATAAAAAGATTACACAGCAAAAATAAGCTAGTTAAACCTGGAAGCAGAAATAATTGTTTAAGCTTTAGAACCAAACTGACACAGGAAAAAAGTGACTAAAAATGCACTTAGAAAAATCTTAAGGTGGTTCTGGAAGAGTCTTCAACAGAAATAAGAGTGACATTAAAAACTAGCTTCAGCACTAGTTTTGATGAGTTTATTAAGCTGTATTACAGACAGATTTCATAATACCTGAGAATCTAGAAACAACCATCAGTAAAACAATCATAGATGAAGAGATAAAATGCAAATGCAATTACAGTTTCATAAAAGGTTATGATAAAGGGTACTTGATTTTTCTACTAAAATAATTCAATCCTTTGTGATATGCAAGTATTAGAACTGTACTGGCTCAGGCAACAGGCAACCTGAAGCTAGTGAAGAGGCAGCAGTTTCAAAGCAACGTTACCCAAAACAATTCTAGAAGTACCCCACAAATTCAGGTTCTAGGAAAGTGAGTTATAGAAGATCTCATCTTTGCAGAGTCAAATACTGCAGTCTGAGAAACAACTTGAGTACTCAGTATTTCTATCAAGCACATAAATGTAACTTTAATTAACCTCAGGTAGACAGGATGCAGCTTCTGCAACAACAGCAAATGAAATTATCAGATGTTAAAACTTCAGGCTCCACAAAATTTTAGAGCATCTGCAGACCGTGAACAGAACTGAGGTAAAGCAACACTGGTACATCGGGTGAATTTTCAAATCACAATTTCTAGTGATACAAAAATATGACTCCGCCTGAATTCTGCAACAATAAGGATTGAAGCTACTGGAGAAGTCCTGTGGAAAGTATATACTTAACTAAATATTGCATAAGCACATGCAGAATCAGGACCTTTTTAAAAGTTTCATAAAAGATTTTTATTTCACAAATTTACTTTACTTTTTAAATGGTGATGTAATTGGATCAGAAAATTCTCTCACCTCTTCCAAATCATCCAGTTCTTCTAACCTTGTCCTCACTTTTTCAGAAACTGCTGAGCCAGCAGTTGTAGCTTTTCCTGTAAAGAATTGCATGCTTGAGTTTCTTTACTTGGACTTCTAAGGGGAAACAAACCTGAAGAAGCTTGACAGACTCAGACAACTAGTCTGCTTCCATGCTAGAAGACAAGTGGTTTGATTTATTTGGTGACTATTTATGAGGACAACATTTAAACATACCTACCGCTCATTCACTTTGAACAGGGAATGGCAAGTAAGCAAAACTGAATATAAATAGATTTTCTTGCAAGGTCTGCTGGTAAGAAAGGACCCACTGGGTAATACCACTGGATAATTTAGACTAGAAAAGCCCTATGGAGGTCTATGTCCAACTTTCCTCCTCAAAGCAGGTCTGACTTTGAAGTTATCACAGATTGCACAGGGTTACATCCAGTCAGTTTAAAAATATCTAAGGACAGAGATGTCACACTCGCCCTGCGCATCCTGTTTCAGTTTGACCATTCTCATTCCAAAAAAGTATTTCATATTTTTGCAGAAGCTGAAGTGCTGCATGCTTAATCATATATAAAAGCCCTGATTTACTATGCAATCAGATATAACTACTAAAGCCAGATTTGCTTTGCTAGAAAACGTGATAAAATATTTAACATTTGGTTCTTTTTTGAACACTCAGCATACAGCTGAAACCATTTCACTTTCATGTAAAGAGAATAACTGAACAAGTTCCAAAGGGACTTGTTTGCTTTCCCTTCCAGCAAGCAGAAGAGTTGATAAAGATGATCTTCAGAATCTTAAATGAAAGTTTTAAGCTATAGTGGAAGGCAATGAATCCCATTTCCTTCCACAACACGTAATCACAAATTCATCAGCCTACAGGAATACAAGACAAAGGTGGCTGCATGGTTTATTTTTAATAATTACTTTAAGTAAAATTCCAGCAGAAATCTTGTTCACAAAAAACACAGATCCAACTACACGTCGGAATGGGGGAGGACAGGAAAATGCTTTTCAACTATACTTGACCACAAACCTGCCACTATACCCCACCTCAAGCAAAATTTATTGCTGTTAGAGAAACTGCTTACCTTTTTCAGATCCCATGTATAGATTCTGTGAAGAAAGAGAAAAGGCAGACTTCAGAAAACACGTACTCACTAGCATTCTAAGAATTCACAGGGTAATTACACTGCTAATGAAGCCCGTAATGGTTTAGAAGCAGATATAAGACCAGAAATAATTTGTATTGTTACACAAAAAGACGAAGTTATGGCTTCTAAGTATTCACAGATCACTGGACTTGGCTCCAGAACAATTATTATAAGTGAGAGTTGTGGTACAGCTTTCTACAACATTAAAACTGAAATCTGGAGGGACAGTATTTAGCCATTAAATAACTGCAAAACAACAATAATCAAAATCCATTAAAGGTCTAGTAGAAACAAATAAAACTGGAGAAGCTGCCACTTACAATAGAGAGCTTCTCTGTTGTTGTGTATCTAGCAAGAATTTCACCACGTTTGCTTGACCATGGTTCAAAGTCACTTCCTACTGCTGAGCTGTCATCTTTATCCCGTTTCTTTCGTGTGCTATCCTACGAGGGGAATTAGAGCACAAATGTTAAATACAAATCTGGAAAAAAATGAGAAAACCTATAAAGGTCAGCTTCATATTTCAAGTTATAACTGATCCTTCCAAAAGTTACAATATATATAAAAAAATAAAAACATATTTCAATAAGTATGTCAACATCAACCACATAGAAGAGGTAAAGAAAAGAAGAATATGCTATTCTATTAATAAAGTATATTTCTCATTTGCATTAACCTCCTAATTGGCAAAACAAATCTATTTTATCCAGGGCTGGCTTTGTGGGGATTTTTTGAGGGGAGGGGTTTTTTTATGTAGTGGACATAACTGCCTCCAGTATTACCATGGTCGCAGTAGTAGTCACAGGATCTGCAGCTGCTGCGAACAATGACAAGGGATCAGTACCATCCAGTACACTGCTCAATGGATCCAGCATAGAACTGGAAGAGGAGGAGGACGTAGAAGAAGTGCTTCCTTTCCGGTTCATTTTCTTGGTCTTGGATTCAGTAACCTAAAAGAAAAGTTCAGCACTATTAAAAAAGCTTTCTCTTTCCCCTTTTTACTTTAATAAATCATCAAAATATGTGCTACATGAATTGTGTTGTTGCAATAAGAGCAAGGACAACTAAAACCAATTCTAGAATGAGCATCCACATTTAAAAGGAAGCATCTCCTTTACCCTTGAACCTGGAGGCACTCTTTGATAGCATTTCCATTGCTTTTTTTTTTTTTCCCCCTTCCAATTCCAGGTCCACAGAACTGTAAGAACAACCACTCTAAATTTCTTTCCAGCACAGCCCCCCCCCCCTCCATTTTATTGGTTTTGTCCATCTCCTCCAACCTCCTCCTTGATATTTGTTTTCCTCTGCTTGTCTCATGTTTACTTTCTTGTACAATACTCAAACCTGAAACATCAGGTCCATTTTTAAGACCTCCGCCATATCTCCCTACTGACCTTCCTGAGCAGAAGGTGCTGTCCATTTATCATTCAATACTGTATGACTATCATTTCTTTGAAGCTGGATTTTTTTTGTACATCCATAGTTTTAAAAGCCTCTCATACATTAAAGAAATGATAAATGTTTTAATGCATACAGCTGACTGTAAGTTAACCCAAACCCGAATCTTACATCAAGCAATTATGCAGGTTATTTGTAATGCAACAATTTGATTTTAAACTTATCCATTATTCAGCATTTAATGCAACCAAGAAAACCCACAAGTTGGAATGCTATATTTGTCAGAAGGAGACTGGTTTTGACCCATAACAGCATCAGCAAATTTCTGTAAAGGACAAACAGAATAAACCTTGATCTCTCTAAAATAATAAGCCACTAACAGAAAGCAGCTTCACTAGTACTACCATCAGCTTCAAAGCATTTTAATTTTAAAGGAATAGAAGTAAAAAGAAGAATGCTACCAGTTTTAATTCACTTCAATTTTCCAAAAGCACAAGAAGAAACTCACTGTAATGGGCTTTAGTGGATGGTAATCGCCAAAATCCAAGGGTATGGATTCCAGTTTGCATACTTCAGATTCTGAAACATAGTTTCTTGATCTTGCATGCCTTAAAAAGAGTAAAGGGAAAGTATTTATCCATATAAATAACCATATACATACTTAATGAACAGAGAAACACATCCCACATCTATACAGATGCAGACACGTTAACAGAAAGAAATGCATGTTGAAAAGTAAGTCAATATAAAGACAAGAATTTCCCTCTCTACCAAGATACATAAAACCGAAACAGAAGAAATTTTACTTTCAGCCACTCAACTTTCCATACCTCGTCTTTACAGATATTTCCTATCTAGCAGTAAATAAAGATGTCACTGACAGCTCACACTTGGCATACCACTCACAGGCCAGAATCAATCCTACTCTAATTAGAATGCGAGACATTACCAGGCAGTATATACGTCTAATACACACGTGTGAATGATCAGCAACCTGCAAATAAGTCTCTCAAAAGTACATTTACAATGTGGCTATTCAAGTGGTAAGACAGCTTGTAACGTATCTAATACAGGGGGCAAGTCCAAGCTTGCACTGAAATGATGTTCCACTTACTCTCCAGGGAAAAGAGATGAAGAATTTCCTTCTTCGTCACAGCAACACAGCCAACTTCTGAGAGTAAACTTATTTTAAGTAAACTTAAAATAAGGCTTGGGCCAAGCAAGGGTTTCATCTCCAGTGCATATTGCAAGATACACCCCTGCCTGCAGGTGCTCTTTTAACAGTGGCTTTCAATCTCTTTAAACACACACAAGCATCACTGCAATTGCCACCACTCTCTACCTTCAACAATTGCCAGGCTGCCAACATCCTAAAGCACAGGCTTCAGAAAGCTTACAAGGGAGCACAAACAAGCATGGCAGGTAAAATGGAAAAGAATCTCTTTACAACACTAGAGATATATTGGTATTGATAACAGAACAAAGTGCACCCAACAAATGAATGTACCTATCGTTATTTTACATAAACCCCAAACAATATATCTAGATATTTACACATATTTAATACAAAAATGAATTCTAGCCCTAGGTTTTAAGCTTCATGTGTTTGCAAAACAGCTCTTTAAAATCAGCATCCAACAATGCTTAAAGGCAGCTAGTGTTCTGCTAAACCCTGCAGCAAGACAGTATTTTCCATATTACAGAAAAACACGCATCAGAACATTTTACTCTGGTTTGTTATTTCTCCATGGCCACTTCTGCATCAATGTTACCACTTGTTAGCCAGCTACCTCAGTGCTGCACCACACAAAACCCAAACTGTTGTCAGCCCCACTGCTCTGCTTTCTGGCTGCAGGCCCTGGTTTTCATCCTCTTTTGGTACTGCTAGAAATTCGTAAGTTACAGACACATTTATTCCTTCCTGTTTCTTTAAGCTCACTGACCACACATACAGATCCCACCAAAACTACTGTGCTCGCCAAGCACCAACAGTTCCAGCACCCAGCTGTGTCAGAGCTCTCTTATACCCACAAATTTCCTCAGCTACATGGGTTCAGGTTTTAAAGTGCACCGGTGTGTTCATTATAAAAAGCGCAGCTCTGGTGTTTTTATGAAACCAACTGAGGGTTTATTAACCTTTTAAACTTTTAAATCCATTAATTATTTCCACTTTTTATTAACCATGGAAGTCTGCTCACATGTTAATGTCATGAGAGTGATTTCAGCATGGCAGTGTATATATGGAAGAAACCTTCTGGCATCCTAATGCTCTAATTGGCTCTCACTACTGCCTATCACTTTCGTTAATGAACCTCACATGAGGTTTCATTTCTAGTTTTCTCAGGACTAACCCATCAGCCACATCAAAACCTAGAACTGGGTGTATTTCTTGCGTTAAAAGAACAACAAAAGAACACAAACAGAAAATTAGCTCATTTTAAACGATTTTGAAGAAAAACGAGCTATGAAGATATTTTCCTTTCCTCTGGCACAGAAAGAGTGCCTGTTTTATCCTTCCTTTCCACAACAACCACCAGACGAAGCTATTCCATGTCCCACTCAGTGCAGCTTCTTTAGCTGTACACCGAGTTTTCCCGCAGAGAATACTGCACGTCGCAAGAAGCCGCCTTTAGTTTGCAGCCCTTAAGCACCGTCTCTACTTCCGAAGGGCCAGTGAAAGAAGCAGCTAACCTGAGCCAGTAACCTGTGATGTAAACTCAGGTTCACGGTACGAAACCTTCATCCAGTTCCGCTCCTTCAGCGGCTCCTTCCTCCGAGCAGAGGGGATGAAGTGATCAAACCAACCCAACACCTTCTCGCTTAGAAGCAAGACCCGCACCGGGGACGCTCGCTGCGTGTGGCAGCCCCGTGTCCCCGCCGCGGCACCCCGCAGAGCCCAGCGTAACACCACGGCGCTGTAAATCTGTGCTGCACCGCCCCATCTCTCCGGACGGCTGCCAGCACCTCCACAGCCTGCGACCCCATGGCACCACAGCCACTGCACCCAGCGCCCCACTCCCTCCCGACACCCTCGGACGTCCCACTTCCCTCAGGCCCCACAGAAGAGCCCCGGGAGCGGCGAGCGCTTTCGCTCCCGGAGGGCGAGGCTTCCCCCTCCGGCACACTCGGGCGTTCTCCGAGCCCCCTCCCCACCTCATCCCCTCGGCTGTGAGGGGCGCTGAGCATGACGGCTGCCTCACACAGCCGCGGGGACCCCCACAGCCAGCGGCCCCCAGCCCTCCGCCTCACCAGGGAAAGGCAGCCATCTTGCCGCCGTTCACATGACGCCGCGGCCGGGCGGCGCCTTCCGCCGGCATTTCCCGCCCAGCCCCTCGCCTCAGGGCCGGTGAGAGAAAGGCGGTTCTTGTCAAAGACGTTAAAGTTTATTGTGCAGTGTGTCTGGTGAAAACGAAATGAAGTACAAAAATAAATACACTTTCATAACGATGTCACAGTTCCACACAAAACGAAAAGATAAATAGGTATAAATACAAAACACCAAGTACGAAAACAAATTCTGGCACTTGTCAAGAAGAAAAGGCCTCGTGAAAGTTAAAAAAACCCTTGTGCTAGAATGGTTTAATACACACACTGGAAGCATGCTTAAAGTAAGAGAGGTTTAGATGTGAAACCTGAACAGAAGGCAAGCGTTCATTTTTACCAACACTTAAACTAAACCTAATTTTACATCAACATATCACCTATGCTAATAATAAATACAGCACATAAACCACCCCTTAAAAACATCCACCTTTAGCACTGATATACCAACAGCACATCTTGTCGCCTGGGACACAGGTAAATGTTTCCCCTGGAGCTGTTTTCCACTCCCAAGGAAAGGTGGGAACCAAACTGGAGCTTCCGTGGGGGAGTGGGAAGCTTGCCTCGGGCATTTCCGGCATTACACCTGGCATTTTGAGGATCACAGCGTTTGTATGGGGGAGACAGGTCCTCCACTGATGAAAACTCTTAAACATACACCATGAGGAATCCCCACCGCAGGCTCTTAAATAAATGCCGTGGCAAAGAGCTGCCAAGCAGTGGTGTTCTTCAAAGCGTTCAGGCAGCATTTCCTCCACTGCCCAGGTGTGCACTTTTGGTAACTTACTGCACGGTATAAAACGTGTGTTCTGAACAATGTCACCAGCTGCAGAGTACAGACGTGGTCGCAGATGAAAGGCACAACCAGTGCCACAAGCAAGACAATTCACTCGTTGCTGCCCTGAAGACACTCTCCTCATCCCACCATTAATGTTCCTCTTTCATGCTATTTAACACAAGGAAATTTTTGGTCAGCCTTTTTTCTTATAGCCATATAAATATGTTACAAAGCCTTCAAAGTCAGGGTGTTGCACTGTATCCATACTGGGAAAGTAACAATATACAATCCGTTTCACATTCTGTTAGTCAGCTCTCTACTACTACTGTTGCAGAGCAAAGTAAGCACTGCAAAGACACACACAGCCAAGCTCTTCCTTATCAATTCCCTATTAATGTGCCAAGTTAATTAAAAAAAGTTACAGAATTCTGATCGAGTTGAAGGATGATATCCATCAGGAGGAAAGCCAAGGGAAAATATAAGCACGATCTTCTAATGTTAAGATTTTTCCAAATATGAAATAATGTTTGCTGGGATTTAATAGGGGTATTTTTCCTCCTTGGAACCATTATTTCGGTACAAGGGCCTGTCAGGTCACTGTAGAAGAGCAACTGCTCAGAAAAATCATGACTGTCATCAATGAAACAAAAGATACCTGAATTATTATTATGAACAATCACTTGTAAGTCTGAAATGGTAAAACAATTAAAATCCTGCTTTCTGAAATTTTTGTAGCACATACACTTCTCACTTCATCTTGGCCAAAAGTTATTCCATCAGAAAATGCTGTAGACAGCAAGGAAAAAAAAATCCTAGGACTCTTTCAGCACATGAGTTTGATCTACCTCACATACAAACGCACTGTTTCAGTATAGTCTTTGGAAGTACTTCTGTCTGGCGAGCAGTGAATCTGTATCCATGTCTGTCCAACTCAGCAGAAATGCAAAACATGTAGGCCATTAGTATTTAAATTGAGGTAATCTCAGTCACACACAGAAATTGTGATTTGAAGTAATGCAAAAAGTGTGTGTCAGACACAGGAATTAAGAGTGGGAAAAAGTCACAAATTAATGTTGCCCTGTGGTGGTCTTTAAACAAACAAGATTAATAATCTTATGTGCATGTAGCAGTATGAATATATAAGTTTTAGCATGCACTTTTTCCACAGGTATTCAAGCTTCACAGCCCTTTATTACCTCAATATGATTGTATTAATGTGTCATCATCTGGAAATGATAAAATATGTTTATAATTTCTAAATATACATATATGCATAGGAGATGCATTATGTCAATCAGTGCTGAGAATGCCATCATTAAAGAACAGCCATTTTATCCCAGTGAGTGCTGTCTTCTTAAATTGTCACAACATTTGGCTTCTTTCTTTGGGTTCTTCCTGCATATGCTCCTAAAAATGAAGTAGAAACATTACCATTTTATAATAAATACTACTAGTTTTTCTAACAGGATTATCCATCAAATATAGCTGAAAAAGCGTAGGACAATTTATATATTTTTAAAGCTTTATTATATATCCAGTGGCTACTTTTAAAATGTCAGTTTTCATGACGTTACACCCAAAATGCTTTACAAAAATTACCTATGGGTTTGAAATTAATGACATTTTGTAATATTTCCTTCCTCAGTAATTATTCCATCTTCTTTTCTGCTACTTTAAAACATCTACAACTATGAATTTTTTATAGCACACCTGTCACATTACCAAGACAGAGATTAAATGACTGATAAGTTTAACTAAGCCACATACTACTTTCAAACAACCTATCAATTAAAAAATATTATAAAAGTAAAATATTTAATCTTTTCTCCAGCTGCCACATTAATAAATCAAGAGACAGTTGTAGATTTCTACAGGTTCCATATACACAAAGTGCAGTATGAATATGGTCATCAGGCAGGGCCCTTACAAAAGTGAAGGTGCTCAAGTATCAAAATAATAACAAATAAATCTCTGCACATGAAACAAACATATACACAGATTTATATGTTTATAAAGCCATATTGTATTATGCATAACACAAATATCTTCCATTAATAAGGGTTTAGCGCTGCAGGCTGCTAAGAAGTAGCACAACTCAGCATTCACTAGGTTCAGGCAGCTCCCAAGTGCCCAGCAGTGTGACATTCACACAAAGACATTCACACGAAGCAGTGACAATCATACTATGTGGTGCAGAGCAGTGGAAATGGAAGACAGCCGTGGAGAGAAAGAGTTACCAGGCAAATAAATGAATGTAACAAAGTACATGCCAGTCCTTTTTATGCTCTTCAGCTACTCTTTGTCAGAGTTGCAGTGGTTACTCACAGTTGTCCGAGGGCTACATTCAGCACCGTGCAGAGCAGCTTTGGAAATGACCACAGAGACCTCACCCTGTCAGGATCCCTAACATCTGAACACTGTTTCCCACTACACAAAAAGGCATTTGTGCTGGCTCAACACTCTCCAGTGCTGTACTCTTCAGCTCACCTGTGATCTTGCAGGACAAACAGCCAGGCTGACAGGCATGATGCTTTGTTAGTGTTTTTACACTAGCTCTTCACTTTCCTCCAAGTTACATAAAAATCTCCCACACATAAGAAGATAGCATAGGGAAGTGGTGTCTCTCCTATGGTATACAATTGACCTGCTGTTCACACAGAGCAAGCTTGATGCCTTTCTGCAGTGCTGGCCCAATTCAACACACTTCATAGCACACCCCATCTCAAACGGGCCATCTTGCTTCCAGCTCAGCCGAGACAGGCATGAGGGAAACACCGCACTTGGCAAAGTGCTTCGGCCACCCAAATACTCTATACGCCTCAAGCCCATTTTTCCACAACACTTAAACTGGGCAAAAACAAAGGAGATTAATAGGTCTAGTTTTAGCAGCACCCTGATCTCAAACACCTTTTTAACACAGTCAGACCACATTAAATACCACCCTGGCACAGCTTGCAGACTCCTGACTGAACATCTCTGTGCTACTTAAAATGTACTTCTTTGAAAACTCAACAAATAAAACTCTATAGATGTATCAGTTTATACTTTTCTCTTTAGAACAGAACTTTGAAGGAGTACAAAACAACAAAAAGTAAATTTAGGGCCACTAGCTGATTCCTGAATGAGATGCCTTCTTGCCAGAGAAGACAACCACCAATTGGAGTGGCATTAAGGTACAAAGCACTTTGTAGACAGAAGTTAAAACTATCAGAAGAATGAAAGAAGAAAAAAGAAGAGTTGGATGAGTACAGTATCGTTTTCTTCTGAAGGTTTGTCTTGTATCTAATTTGAATGTATTTATAATAGCTGTATTCTACTAATCCTCCTGCTCTTTTGGCCCTCTAATAGACACAATTTAACTCGGAGTCAGGGATGAATGAAGACAAGAAATTAAAAATATTATGGGTTAGGAGTACAGCAGACTAGTACAGTTACAGATATAAATAAATCTCTGTATTGCCTGGATGATGCCACTGCTACGAGTCTTTGTTTTCTGACATGCACAACTTCTACAATAAGAGAAGCATATGTATTTGTTTGGCTTTTTACATCCTCTTTTCAAACCTCTATTCAACTTACTGCCAAGCCTTTCTTCACTATTCACATTTTATCTATGTATAAAGAAAACAATTTCTATTTAAATGCATTCAACTTACGGTTCTTTTTATTATTGCAAAATTATGGAGATTATTTCTTTCACGCCAAGCATTCCTCACCTAACAATTTCATTTTTATTAATACAAGTAGTCTAGCCTATTTATAAAGGAGCATATGGAAGTATTGGTATTACAACATGGGAACACACAATGTTCAAACACTAAATGAGGTTACGTAGTGCAACCAGAACTAGGCAGCATAAAGTTGGTTAGACACTTCTGCTCTAAGTTCCAAGGCCACTACTGAAGGCATTATGCAGGTTTCCAGGTACTCAACAAACATCAATAAGGAAAGGCAAAGAGAAATTTAGAGATATAAACCAAAGCAATCTTTTCATTGCCAAGTATCAGCTGTTATGACTTCAATAATTATGACTAAAATAGACTTGGAGATTAGCAGAGCAGCACACTCTGCTGACACAGAGAAAGAATGCTTTAACTGGAGGTCTGATGCCAGAGGCAAATGTAAAAAACACTGCATGTCATTATGAGCTGAGCATGAATTATATGAAATTTGGGATGGCATCCAAATCTCAAACCAGTGATGAACCTGACACTGACATTACCCTTACACTACTACTCTTTT